GCCATCGCTCCTCTAGGCTCCAGAACAAGAGCCAGAATTACCAAAGCCAAGGCCATCGCTCCTCTAGGCTCCAGAACAAGAGCCAGAATTACCAAAGCCAAGGCCATCGCTCCTCTAGGCTCCAGAACAAGAGCCAGAATTACCAAAGCCAAGGCCATCGCTCCTCTAGGCTCCAGAACAAGAGCCAGAATTACCAAAGCCAAGGCCATCGCTCCTCTAGGCTCCAGAACAAGAGCCAGAATTACCAAAGCCAAGGCCATCGCTCCTCTAGGCTCCAGAACAAGAGCCAGAATTACCAAAGCCAAGGCCATCGCTCCTCTAGGCTCCAGAACAAGAGCCAGAATTACCAAAGCCAAGGCCATCGCTCCTCTAGGCTCCAGAACAAGAGCCAGAATTACCAAAGCCAAGGCCATCGCTCCTCTAGGCTCCAGAACAAGAGCCAGAATTACCAAAGCCAAGGCCATCGCTCCTCTAGGCTCCAGAACAAGAGCCAGAATTACCAAAGCCAAGGCCATCGCTCCTCTAGGCTCCAGAACAAGAGCCAGAATTACCAAAGCCAAGGCCATCGCTCCTCTAGGCTCCAGAACAAGAGCCAGAATTACCAAAGCCAAGGCCATCGCTCCTCTAGGCTCCAGAACAAGAGCCAGAATTACCAAAGCCAAGGCCATCGCTCCTCTAGGCTCCAGAACAAGAGCCAGAATTACCAAAGCCAAGGCCATCGCTCCTCTAGGCTCCAGAACAAGAGCCAGAATTACCAAAGCCAAGGCCATCGCTCCTCTAGGCTCCAGAACAAGAGCCAGAATTACCAAAGCCAAGGCCATCGCTCCTCTAGGCTCCAGAACAAGAGCCAGAATTACCAAAGCCAAGGCCATCGCTCCTCTAGGCTCCAGAACAAGAGCCAGAATTCCTGAACATACGCTAGCATCGTTTCTCCTTTTCCTCATAAGAAGTCGTGACAGGTGAACATCAACAAACAGGTAAACAACCACAAAAATGTATAAATCCATGAAATCTAAATACGTAATTGAATCAATTGTAATATTGCACATCATACGTGACATAATCTTCAACTTGTTTATACGTACATGTAAATAATATTCGTCTCTGCACGGGAGTCTGAAGTTTAATCAATATTGGTATAACAATCTGTATATAAACAAAAATAAGTATACGGGGTATTTTTGTTTATATACAGATTGTTATACTCAGGGGGGACCCAAAAATTAATTTTGGGTGTTGCCCAAAGTTTTAAACTCAGAAAAAGACACAAAAAAATAAATAAACATGTACATGTATACTACTTACTTGCACCAAACAATATATAGAACTTCATTATTTCTGAGATTGTGACAATTATAATTTCCCTACCGGGCAGAGCGAGGCGATTTTTTTTCTCTGAAGATGTAATACTAAACTTGTTCAAGCACTGCCAAGCGTAGAAAGCAAGAATTTATTGGACAGTATTTCCATTGTCAAACAGATCGAATAAGGCATAGAATAGTTTTCTGAGTTTGCGGTATTATTCCAGGTTATATTTTATAACATAGAGTATTTATATTTTATGATGGCCGAGCGGAGCGAGTGTTAACAAATTCTCTGAAACAATGGTAAAAATGTAGTTTTTTTGGTTAAAATGTTGATGTTTGTGTTATGCCTTTCATGTGCATGTTCAATGTGTTTAGGCGAGCATTTTGGCAATTAAATATTTATTTATTTTGTCATAAATATGAATTATGATTTGACTGTTTGTCTTTTATTTTGAATTTGTATGCATGAAATGTACAAGGGCAACACCTGTTGAAAAGGATATATATATATACATGCCAGGCGTTCATGCTTTTAAACATTGGTTATTATTCACGCTAAGGTGGATGCTTTATTGTCTTTGAATTTTTTGAAATTTACATTTTTTAATAGGTATAATAAATCACTCCTGGTGATCATGTGTACATGAAACCACAGGTGAAAATACAGGTTTATCTATCATGAAATAACAATTAACCTATATACCTAATTCCAACAGATGGTTTATCCTCTCTCAACGGACAGGGGATCACCACACCCTGACATTAGAACAATACGATTAGGTAGACAGTCCGTTGAGCCTTCACCACTGACTTGACTGGACACCCTACTAATATATAAACAAAAGAGGATTAATCCCCTATTGTTTAGAGTATAAGTAGTGGACTCCTTGTTTGGGCAACTGCACCCTTAGGTATATATAGATATTTATACTTGCCATAGAAAATCATAGTTCACGGAATGGTTGATATCAGAAGAAAATCCCATATGAAAAAGAGGAAAATCTTCAAACACCTAAGTCCAGATTATTTTTGGACACAGAAAAAAGGGTGTTGCCCGGGCAACTAAGGCAACACCCCTGGGTCCGCCACTGCTGATTATTTATATCGATTAAACATCAGACTCATGTGGACTGTTTAGGTCAGTCATAAATTGGTAGACTACTAGATCTATACTAGCGATTAGTCTTCCGGATATACGTATTTTGTATCACATTTAATATATTCTAATACATAGTCTATATCAAAGAAATTTGGTTTTCTCACCATTTTAACTTGATAAAAAAAATATCGAAACACTCTTGAAAAAATAGCAGATGCAATATTTTTACGTTGTCCAGGTGGTAGAAGGGAAATAACTCCCGATAAGACCTTTTTAGAAATCTTCTGTTTTGAAGACAACAAACGGTTACATCAGCTGCGGCACATTTGGAAGTGCACTGTCAGGTAAATGACTTAAAACAAAATCATTCATTTGTATGTTGACACTTGTATATTATCCAGACATAAATTTGTATCACAACAACTTATCCATGCTTAACATTTCCTGATTGATGGTCACTCAATCGGATACACATATTATTGTCAACGAAATGTAAACACCGACTCCAAAGAAAGGATTTTCGTGTTGATTACCCGCCATTTTCGGTGTCGATGGATGTCCAATCTAGATGATCACGGCGGATAATCACTAGTTCAGTGTCAACTCAGTATCAAATTCTTGTCACTTACAAAATGTCAAAAATAAACGACATTGAATCTTCACTGAAAATTGCACACTGACATTCGTATATCCATGTCGCCGGGAGAGATTCGTGAACTGTGGCTTTACAGTGTACCAGTACAGTGGCTGACTGAAATGTTATATCATAAACGCGGTAATACTTTTTCTAGAATGTGTCACACAATGTCATGCTAAAAGATTGTGAACATTAACATTCAGTTATTTTACAAATCTCTGTTAAAATATTAATTATTTTGCTTTTCTTTTTTTCCCAGATCAGTCATGAGTAAGCCCGGTAAAGGTGGTCTGAATTCCCTGCTGAGCTACAGATTTGTTAAAAAACCAAGACCCAAACTACAACATGAAGGTTCAACAAGTAGCCAGGACAGTGACGACACAAAGTCTACTTCAGATGACAATAGCCAGTCATCTGATCAGAGTCTGGGGAACTCCCTTCAAAATGGCCAGTCAAAAGATCTGATGTTGGAAAAAACAAATTCTGTTACTTCCTCTCATTCAAAAGACACAATAGATTTGGATGAAACAGAGAAATACTGGGATGAGGCTGATGGGACCGATACTCTTATATCTGTGTCTGTTATTGATGATCGACTTGATGCAAATACTCCGGAAAAATCTGGTAATTACTTATAATGCAAACCAATTTTTGATGCTGATAAAAGTTTCAGTACTGTACCCAGTGCTGATATAACCAGCACACGTTGTGAATGTGTAATTTCCATAGATATTTTCATCTTTGTAATCTGAATACAAAGTATATTCCGTTTCCAGTTGCTAGGGAAATGTGATCTCATGTGTAGCGTGCAGGTTGGGCACCCATCCAGACACTGGCCATGCTCAATGTTGCTTAACTAGTAAGTGGGTCCCAGGGTTATACTGCATCACTGGAAAAGCTAGCTTGCCAGTAAAAGGCAGTATTTCCGGTTCATATTCCTGTAGATTTTTTTTATGGAGCAACATATTTCTCATAAGTTTTCATTAAATTTCTTTGAAGTCTTGCAGAATTAATCATTATCATCATGATCCATAGTACAGGTAGTCTGTGTCTATCATGTGTACTAGTACTGTTCCCATGATTTTTTTCTGTGAGGATATACAATACATGGATGTGTGTAGTAGTATTTAAGTTAAGGTTTGGCTTACAGTTCTAATTTCCAGCTGACTGAATGGTTACCTTACATTTTAGTTACAATTATGTTTATTCTGTATCAGAACCCACCACAGTGCCGGAGACACCTGCCTCACCCCTCTCCCAGGCTAGTTCCCCGGAGTCACCTTTGTTCAGAGCAAAGCCCAAGAATATACGCAGCAAAGCCATGGAGGATGAGGCCTCAGAGGCTAGTGGCTCTTCATCGCCTTGGATGTCCAAAGATCAAGGAAAACTTACCAACGGGAGTGGACTTGGGGCTAAGAAGGAACGAAAGTAAGACTTATAAAACATATTTTTCTTCATTAATGTTGTTGTTCTCAGTTTGTAGTTGGTTTTCGATCGTCTTGCAATTTAAATATATTTTTGGGAAAATCGATTGCATGTTGAAGTGGCATTTTTCTCTTCATTAGTACATATTTTATCTGATAAATAGGTTTATATGAAAATGATTTCTTAATTTAATAATCATTAACTTTTGTAAGCTTATGGTTAAATAACAGATTGAATACTGGGTTAACTACAGGAAAATCATACGGAAGAAGTGAAATAATTTCTGTGTCTGTTTGATATGTTATTATTTCATAAACAGTACAAAATCTACATCTCTGTATCAACAGATATTATAAATAATTAATTTAATAAAATATATAGATTCAATCACAACAGGCGAAGGAGCAATAGGTTGTTCTTGTAGTTTATTAGAAGTGTCGACCGGTTTCGACCCTACAGTGGGCTTCCTATTTTATGATGTTCTCACTTTTACTCAATCTCCTGCATACTTTCGGGTATCTAGACAAGGAGCACAGGACCAAATTATTCCACCATTAAGACGAACACGGGGTTGGCTCTACGCTTGCCTTAAAATAATTAATTTGATGCCTGCACTAAAGAAGAACAGGATCAAAATGTCAGGAGAGACACAAAGCTCACAGGTAACAATGTATAATGACAGAAGTACAACCCTGTGTGGAGAGGTCAACTCATCCTTGGTGGGTGTGTCCACCACTTCGTTGTCCGGTATTGTTTGTGAAATTATAACATACCACACATTAACCCTTTCACCACTGTAGACCATAATGGACTCATCCATACCAATGCATGGTAGAGTCTACTAAAGTTACATAGGGTTGAAAGGGTTAAAACTGATGTGTACCTGTAGAAGATAAGTCATAAAACATTTTGTTGGCTTTCAGGAAGAGGGCACTGCCTGACTTTAGTGATGAGGAGTCAGAAGAGGATGATAAAGGTCTTTCTGCTGAGGATACAGAAACATTGAACAACCTGAAGCAGATCTTCCCAAGTCAGCCACACCATGTCATACAACAAGCATTCCTTGACGCAGACCGGATCTATGATCTGGCTGTGGAAAACCTTATCGATAGAGGTACAAGTTTATATTATATATATATACATTGTATTACCAAAATGAAAGATATTCTTCGATCTTCTGCTGAAAACACTTTCTCAGTCTGAGCTGGCTGTGGAAAACCTTATCGACAGAGGTACAACTAGTTTATATTTTATATATACAATGCATAACAAAATAAAAGATATTTTTCGACCTTCTGCTGAAAACGCTTTCTCAGTCTGATGAAAAGACTGTGTTTTACAGGATATAAAACTAGTGGAGTCCTACACAACCTAGAGTGAGGGTACCTAAATTGGATGACTTTTCAAACAAAAATTGTAAATATTTTCTATTGAGTGGTTAAAGCTTACATTTCATGTATTGGTTTGATATCAGCAATGTCTAGTAAAAATGGTATTCCTTCTGTCAATTAGAATTATATAAGATTTTTGTTGGGACTTTAATCTGTTCTGTGATTGAAATAGTTTATAATTGAGTGGTGCATGTGTACTTTTTACTTGTTTGGATTGAGGTTAGTAGAAAGAGGTCATTTTGTGCTCGAAAGAAACATTTTAATATTGATACAAAAGACAAAAGCACTCAACCTGTGGAATTAACTCATTCACCCCTGAAATTTCGTAATGAACTATTCCAACTTTGAATTGGAAGAGTTCAAATGTGTCTTCAGGGGTGAATGAGTTAAGTAAGTGTTTTATATACCAGGAAACCGTTTGATTGATTGACTGATTGATAGGTTTTACGTCAGCTTCACTAGTTCGGTTATCCAGCAGACGAACCAGAAAACCTTCCCTAGTGATGTAATATAGGTTTTCACTGGTAAATCCATGTACTTGCCCAGGGTTATTTAAGTTTTGTATTAATTGTCGTGATGAATCACCATATTACAGATTATGAAGAATTTAAAACTTCAGCAGAGGTAGTTCAGTTAACAATATGCTAATAGTCATAATAATTTTGTTTACAGGCAAGGACAATACAAAGAAGAAGAAGCGAGTGATTCGTATGGAAAGTAGTGACTCTGAGGCTTCGCAAGAACCTCCGGCGAAGCGATCACGCCGGATAGTATCTAGTGATGACCAGGAGGAGGTGGACAGCCAGGCGACCATCATCAACTCACAGAGTCAAGATGGGGTCGTTGGATACACCACTCAAGAGGAGAGAATTAAATTCCTATCGGAATCATTCCCGACAAGGTCACGGAGGGTGAGTGGGACCAGAGGTTTAAGAGTCCATTTACTCCTCAGCCAGGACAACTAAATTCCAGATTGGGCCAATTGTAAACTCCTTTTAATTTGGGGATAACCCTACTGTATTTTGAGGTTTTAAAATCGGAATTATACTGTCGCAAATTTAATTTTACTGGCAATGTAAAGACTAAAGTGGAGCCAGTAAAATGGATATTTGTGACAGTATAATCATGATATACCGCTGCAAATCTCAAAATACAGCAGGGTTATCTCTATTCTTATTCATATAAGCCAAAACCACAAAAAGAAATAACAATTTTAAGACATTTTCGAGTGTTTTCTCCTAATTCTGGGTCACACTGCCGTGGATTGGTGAAGTCAGGAATATTCAAAGTGATGCAGAGTTACGTTGACCTTCTGGGGTCACTCTATTGTTTGAGACGTCATGCTTATGCAAATGACCAATTTCGGACGGTATATCATGGTTAAACTGTCACAAATTATTTTGATTGACCAATCAAATGTCATATTACATCTCAAATGAATTAGAATTCTCCTTGATATGTTATTAATGTCTGCTCTAACCAGTTAAAATGATGCAAGTAGAATTCCATTTTTTTTTTCATGTCCACAAGCAAGTGCTTTCAATTTGTTTTACACCTGGTACACCTGTAGTATTGCTGAAACTTCTATAACGAATCTACTATAAATCTTTCTATTTTAATTCACACAAGATTTTGCAAAATATACCAGTAGGTTTTAATTCATAAATACTTTTAATTCATGATTAAGAGGATGATATTTTATCCTCATAGTTTTGAGCAAAAATGAATCTCTTTTTACAGCAATTTACTATACTTCAGTAAATATAGCAATACTCATTTTAATAGAAAAAAAGTCTGAATAAAAGTTTGATTATATTGCAGTCTATACACAGAGCCCTGGAAGAGAAGAATTGGTTGGTGGATGAAGCTGCTGAAATGTTAGACCTTAAGAAAAAAGAAAATGGAGCAGATATAGCTATAGGTAATAAATTTCAGTATTGCTGTGGATAATGCTTCATGTTGCCTTAGTAATACAGTGTAGTTAGTGTTGCTATGGTAATACTAAGTGTTGCTATGGTAATTATTAGTGTTGCTATGGTAATAATTAGTGTTGCTATGGTAATACTTAGTGTTGCTATGGTAATTATTAGTGTTGCTATGGTAATACTAAGTGTTGCTATGGTAATACTAGGTGTTGCTATGGTAATATTAAGTGTTGCTATGGTAATACTAAGCATTGCTATGGTAATACTAAGTGTTGCTATGGTAATACTTAGTGTTGCTATGGTAATAACTTGTATAATGTGCTATAAAACTTAGGTTGGTTGATGATGTGAATATATGTGTACTGTTAAAATGCAGACTGCTGGAATGATCAAATACAATCACCTTCTCAAAAAATAAAAAATAAAAAGATAACAATAAATACTTCAGCTTGTGTTCATGCCTGTGAAGAGGAGTTTTGTAGGCTGACAAGTGTGCTTTACTCCACAGACATATCTGATGAGGACGAGGACTTCCTCAGTGGTGACGAGGCAGGTGGCGACAGTGAGGACAGTCTAGATGTAAGTCAGAGCTGGGCTACAGTACATAGGTTTTGTTTCCACTTATTTTCAGAAAGGATAAGTGAAACTTGGGAGTGTTACTCCAGGCCTTACCATTAGTATAACCCAGTCTGGTGTTATCCCTATCGTTTTAGGACACACGTCATAACATATGTTAGCAGTCCTGTCATATTACTGTATACAGAGAAGCTTTAGCCTAGTTAAATACTTGCTTTTCACCTGGGGGGGGGGCATTATTTTCTGGTAAACAGTATTTCTGTTAGCTGGTTTGTTTAAACTGCATATTCAGCTTCACCAAGCATTCTCTCTATAATCACAGCTTCACCAAACATTCTCTCTGTAATCACAGCTTCACCAAGCATTCTCTCTGTAATCACAGCTTCACCAAGCATTCTCTCTGTAATCACAGCTTCACCAAGCATTCTCTCTGTAATCACAGCTTCACCAAGCATTCTCTCTGTAATCACAGCTTCACCAAGCATTCTCTCTGTAATCACAGCTTCACCAAGCATTCTCTCTGTAATCACAGCTTCACCAAGCATTCTCTCTGTAATCACAGCTTCACCAAGCATTCTCTCTGTAATCACAGCTTCACCAAGCATTCTCTCTGTAATCACAGCTTCACCAAGCATTCTCTCTGTAATCACAGCTTCACCAAGCATTCTCTCTGTAATCACAGCTTCACCAAGCATTCTCTCTGTAATCACATTTCCTTCTTTTTGTGATTGTAACATGATGTATGAGGTTACCAAAATTGGGATTTTTTTATTCATGGTAAGATGGTGCTGGAGAAAAACAATCAACCTGTCCTTTGTGATATAGAGAGGAAATATCAACCCTGGGGTTAAAACGTGTTTTGATGAACTCTAAAAATATTCGAGATTATATTACTCTTTTCTGCATCACATAAAGAGTGACAGATTCTGTTTACTCTTCTCTCTCTTTCCCTAAATAAGAAGTGTGTAATTCTGAGGACTTTGTACGTATTTTAGGACGGTGCTGATGAACACAAAACAGAAAAACAGATGATCCTGGCGTTTTTCCAGGAAGCTACACTAGATGAACTGGCCGGCTCCCGTGGCTGTTCTAAAAGGAAGGCTGATATTATATCTAAAGAAAGACCATTTAAATCCTATGAAGACTTGGTAAGACTTCAATTAAATTTCATAAGTAAATAAAAGTTTTGAAGATTTTATATTTTTCCTGTATTTCTTGGTTAAACAATTTGTCACATGAACATAACGCTGTTTACATATACTCTGGTAGGCTTATGCTCTTTCATTGTTCATTCTTCCATTCGCTTCTTGCTCAGATTATGAATTTTTCAAAGATTATTTATATACTTCAATAAAAGAAGTGAATTTGTTTACACATTTTTGTTACCCTCGGTTAAGAAAATAAAAAATATTTTTGTTATCCTTCGTAAAAAAAACCACATGTTTTTGTTATCCTTGGTTTCAAAGCAAATAAGGAAAATTTGAAATGGAAAGGGTTTCCCTGATATTATATACCATTGATATCATGTTGCAGCATCACAAGTGTGCTACTGTGAAAGGCATAACAACAGATCTGATCGGTGGTTGTCGGGAAATCATCCGAGTTCGGGAGGTCATCATTCGTTTGATGCAGAAGTGCGAGAAGATCTCGGCGGAGATGGAGAGAGTGGTGACATATCTTACTCAACAGGACAGCATCGACGAATCGGACAACAGGATACATATCACCAAACAGCCCGCGCTGCTGAATAGCGAGTATGTAGACAGAGACTTAAAAACAAAGAGACCCACAGAACTAGGTTGTATAGTTCCCAATGTCCTTATTTAGACGGACTCACAGATTGTTTATTTAACACATCTGAACCCTGTCAGCCACAGAACTAGGTTGTATAGTTCCCAGTGTCCTTGTTTAGACGGACTCACAGATTGTTTATATACCACATCTGAACCCTGTCAGTCACAGAAGTAGGTTGTATAGTTCCCAGTGTCCTTGTGTAGACGGACTCACAGATTGTTTATATAACACATCTGAACCCTGTCAGTCACAGAAGTAGGTTGTATAGTTCCCAGTGTCCTTGTTTAGACGGACTCACAGATTGTTTATATAACACATCTGAACCCTGTCATAGTGCTAACAGTGTGTAGGCTGATAATGACTCTGTAGGATCTGATGCATTGTAATGGAAGAGCCAAAATCTGACGTGAGATAATTTAAATATCCCGAAAATCTGCATACCAAACTAATCAATCAAAGCAACAGGGTTCCCTGATTAACAGTACTTGGTTGCTACAGTTCACTGTAGTACTACAGACAGTTTGGAAACTATTTTGAGCTGGAGTATTGTACTATCACAGACAGGATTTATATACACCCGGACCTGTGGAAAGACCTTTGTACCAGCTTCTTGTGGATGCTAATCTTCTGTTCCAGGATCTCCTTTCATGAGTACTTCATATCTTGACAAGTCTATGACACCATACGTTATCAAGTTGAAATAAAGACCATCCATTTATTTGTATATATATCAAAGAGTTACTTTCTACATAAACAATGTACATATCAAACCGTCATGTTTCAAAACCCTTTGTCAAGCTTTGACTGAGTGCGCGACTAGTATAGTGTATCTGTTCAACATTGTGACAAAACTCTGAACGTTATTAGTCAGTCAACTATGGGTGTTTTGCCTATTAACACAGAATACACACTATCAAATGAGTTACTATTCATTTATACATTTCAGATTCCAACTGAAACCTTTCCAGATGGTTGGTCTGAATTGGTTGAGGATCATGCACTCCAAACAGATCAATGGCATTCTGGCTGATGAAATGGTAGGATTTTACTGGTGGAAGCAATGAAATAATATCGTTATCTTTAATACTACCATGATCACACAAGTGAACAGCTTTTAAACATTGGAAAAGAAAGACTGACATATGTATGATTTACAAAACACAAACATATAAACAAAACACACACGACGTACTCACAAATAGAAATAAAAAATCCAAACTGATAAAAAACCAGTCATGACCTACAAACCAAAATATGTTATTCAGACTTACAGGCAAGGAATAATATATAATGGTGAGAAACACATACACAATCCAGACTCCCAAGCAAAAATATAGGATTCAGACCTCACAAACACAACACACAGTCCTGACTTCTGCGAAAAACATCAACCATTTTAGACTCACAAAAACACATCTAGACTAACTAACTAATAAAAAAAACAATCTATAACTCACGAACAAAAATACACAATCCAGACTAATACACAGACTTTAAAGTGATAAGTAAATAAAGAATCTTTAAAAGACCATTGGAATGACAGGTCAGTTTCATCCTTAATATGTTACAGGGCCTGGGCAAGACGATACAGACGATAGCATTCATCGCACACTTACTGGAGGAGGGGGAGGAGGGACCACACGTTATCATTGTCCCCTCTTCTACTCTAGGTAAGTCTGATAGACATCATCATCCCTCTCATCTGTGTAGTTACTCATTGTCTTTCTATCTTAGAAAATCTTTGTCCGCATCCCTCCTCATTCTCAATACCCCCAGGGATTAGCTTGCATTTGCTGTCAGCACACCTGGTATATGTCATAGCAAAAATGAAGGCACCTGGTTAGCCACTTGATTGGCCTCGGGTAAAAATAACTGACCAATTGCCATGCTGATACCTGTCCTTTGAAGATTACAGAGGAGCGACACCCGACGTCAAAGACAGACAATTTTACCATTACGAGACCACAAGATTCTTTTGATGTACCTCAAAGGATCAAACTAGCCTTCTTGTCTCATCCACAGGGTGGCACACACTGAGCGTCCGAATTTGCTATGACTTATTCCAGGGTTGCAGAGAGGAAACGTGAGGGTAACCCCCTGGAGTATCGAGGATGGTCCCTCCTCTAAAATATAGACCTTTAAAGTACAGAATACTTCATATCTTCAGTCTTACAGAAGGTAGAGATCATCATCCTTCCTCTTATATATATGTAGATTTGTACATGTTAAAGATTTGTATAGTACAGACTGCTTGCTATCATCAGACTGACAGAGTGCAGTAGTCATTGTCCCTTCTCTTAATGTATGAATTTTAAGTTGTCTTAGTATAGTTATCACAGTGTGTATGACAGTATGATAATTCCTGTGATAGAAAACTGGCTGCGTGAGTTCTCCGTGTGGTGCCCAGCCGTCAAGGTGTTGGTATACTACGGCTCTCAGGAGGACAGGCGAGTCACCAGGAGAAGCATCCTCTACGAGGACTTTGTGGATTTCCACGTTATTCTCACAACGTAAGTTCCATTTAAATACAATATTTCTGTTTTCGACCACACTTCTGTCAGAAGCATGGTACCTGTAATGACCGTGTTGGTCCGTTTGTCTCTTTAGTTATTGTTCCGACTTTGCATACTTCTTGCATGTTGTCTGAAGTCTGCCCTTCTTTAACAATTCATCACTGTTTCTCAAGAAGTGATCTTCTTCAAATTTTACATGTAGCTTCCTCTTGATCCATAGTCGTGCCTTTTTCATTTTGAGTCTGATTTGAAGAATAAGATGGCTGCTAGGATTCAATATTTATCCCTATATTTTGCAGCTACAATATGGCGACAGGAAGTGTAGAAGACCGGTCATTGTTCAAGAAGTTTGAGTTCCACTATTCCATTTTTGATGAAGGCCACATGCTAAAAAACATGTCATCACTTCGCTACCAAAACTTGATGAAGATTCAGGTGAGGAAATGAAAATATTAAATCGTAACTGTTCTTTGATAGGACTTTTCCAGAGAGTATTTCAAAGATTGCTGTGTTTGGTAATATTATTTAATTATACTGATATTTATTTTGGAAGATAAACGATTTAAACAGAATTTATAGTAATAACATCGATCAATGCATCTGTCCAATATAATGGAAGAATAGGAAATGTTCATCCCGGCTTCATTTTAGCCTATGAACGATTGTATGAATTCAACAAGAAGCAAAATCGTGTATGTATATTTATTTTACTGCACCAAAAAGTATAGATGGGTGAGTTTGATGTTAAAAGGCTAAAGTGGGAAACTAATGTAGTTCACTGTCCACTTGTGAAGAAAAAAAAGAAAAACTCAATGATAGTACCTCAGGGAAGGGATTTGTCTATAAAATGTTGATGAAATCTTTTCCTGGAAAGGCCTGAGGATCATTTTGTATCTTTTGGAATAAAGTTGTAACAAACTTCTTCTTGCACATATTAACTTCTGGAAAGGAATTTGTTGCGATCATTCGAGGCATTAAACAAATTCTACTATACAGAGAAACTGATGTTGTGTTTCTTCAGTGAGTGTTAGCAGTACATGTACATTTTCTGCTTGACTTATTTTTGTAGTCTGAGCGCCGCCTACTGTTGACGGGGACCCCTCTACAGAATAACTTACTGGAACTGATGTCGCTGCTCTGTTTTGTCATGCCTGATATGTTCATCGGGAAGACTGACCATCTGAAGCGCATGTTCTCCATGATCACGGTAAACAATGCTATAACATCAACAGTGGGGGGAATGAGCAGCAGCCTCAGGATATAATATTGTAACAGGAAAGAGAGTAGTGTGCTTCCAACGGGGTTCAAACCCTCGATCTCCAGGTTCCTAGTCGGACGCTCTACCACGGAGCTAAAGTTTAGGAAATTCCCTCTAGCTCAAAGCTAGAAGGCGACTTTAATCCTCTGTACAATTAAAATCTGCCACAATATAGAAATAACAACACTGCTGCACTGTATCTCCTACTGTGTTAATATCTGTTGTCTTCATGCTGATCTGATAAAAGTGAAATATATACATATCACTGTTGCCTTTTCCCTTTGGTAATTGAAAACCTCTTGAATTACTTATTTAAAAAAATAAAAATAAAAATATAAACAGAATTATTATCTGCATGTTCTATACAGATTTAAGGTATCCTGATCAATGGTTTTGTTTATTTCAGAAATCTGTTGATGACAAAAGGAGCAAGTATGAAGCCGAGAGGATAGCTCATGCTAAGCAGATCATGAAGCCGTTTTTATTGAGACGACTCAAGTCTGAGGTATGAAACGGTTATCACATGATATTACCATAGATGATTTATCTTGTCTATGAGGTTTTAAAGTGTTTAAAAGTGTTTCTGTTTTGTTAAATGATATGATCCAAGCTTAGGTCTTCCTAGAACCCTCTTAAATTTTAATTGTTTGAATTGGTTCTAAGACGTCTTATGTAAGACCCAGTCAGATAGTTGATCTCAAAATTTTCTATCTGACAGCTTGGTATTTTTTGTATGAGGATTTCTTTTCATCTTAATCTCTCACTTCCATATCATCAGATAATTTATTCCTGTATATATGAAATACGAAAGCTGTGTTGAATATGATCATGTGTGTTGAGCACTGTATATAAGTCGGAACTCAGTTTTGTGTTTAATGTAACTCCTCTTTAGTCTTGTGGTACCATATCACACCTGTTCACCATCATGTCTGACTACCCCTAGATATGGTAACATCACACTAGTTTGTCTGTAAATACTGTAAATTCATGTATCAAACTCCACAGTGCACATTAATTATATAGATAATTACTCTCAACATTAAAATAGCATCAACGTAATTTCAAATTCAAGGACAGTGTATTGTGTATAAACGGACACCCCTTGGACCACTAATTTGGTGAGTTTGTCGAGGGGTACAGATTGCAGATAGTGTACTTGTCATATACTTGTAGAGGAGCTGGACTGGGTCGATCGTTGACGACCAGATAGCTAAATTGGAAGAGCGTCGGTCTAGAGTTTGGGGGGTCCCGGGTTCGAACCCGGTCTGGTCGTGCATTTTTCATCTCCTGTTACAAACTAATGTTGTAAGAAAGAAATTTTGGGTCTGAGTCTGGTTTTGAAAGAGTCCAATGTATTTGTGATAACCGGGAAATATTTCTCGAAAAAAATGTACGAGTGAAAATAAAGTGATTTACTAAATGGTGCGTATCAGTATCCGTCAAGAAGTTATTCAAGGTTTTTTTTCTGCTCTCTTTTAGAAATGGGATAAGTTATTAAATTGTTCTGATTTTGTTCCATTTTGCAGGTTCAGAAACAGTTACCCAAGAAATTAGAATGCGTTGAGTTTTGTGAAATGATTCCAGAGCAGGCAGAAGGCTACCACAACCTCGTCAACAAGTTTCAGCAGGAGCTACGGGAGTCAACTGGTGGACCAGGCGAATCAAAGGGAGGGGCAGCCATGTTGATGCAGTTACGAAAGGCTGCTAACCATCCACTGTTGCTAAGGAAACACTACACAGACAAACTATTAAGAGAAATGTCCAAACATATAGCAAGGGTAACATTAGTTTGTGTCTTCTCTACAGACTTGTTATTCATGAGTTCGAGTTTATGGTAATATGAAACTGGAATTAAACATAACATTCCAAGCAACAAAGTTAGGGGCAGGAGTATACTGGTATAAGGCTGTCTGTCTGTCTGTCCGTCTCTCTGTCTATCTATGAAGGGAAGTTTGTTTGACACACTGCTGCTTGCTTTATAAACCGATTTTTTAGGAAACTTGGTACATATGATCTGTATGTACCTTTATAATATTTCTAAGGAATGCATTTCATGGAAGATTTCTGATGAAAACAAATTAATAAGACTTGTTTATCCTGAAAAAATGTTATTTGATTAATAATATGTTCCACAGGGTGTCGGATAACTAGACAGGTTACTCATATCAATATACGTCCTTAAATGACCTAAGCTGTTAATAGGACGCTAAACAAAATTAAACCAAATCCATATCAATATATTGTGTTCTACATTGTGTCAGATTAGATTACATGTAATTCAATATCATAATATAATTGTGTCCCGCAGGGTGTCTATTTAAGCAGGATTCTATGTATATGTGTATTTGATAGTAAACATATGTATTTTTATACCCATAAACCTAGTCAGTATCCATCATTCCATTGAGATCTAGCATGATGATGGTATTGGTTATATGTGTTTCTGTAGGAGCCTTCTCACCGTGACAGAAACGCTAATGCACAGCTCATCTTCGAGGATATGTGTGTGATGCACGACTTTGAGATCCACAAACTATGTAAATTTTACGAGGTAAGTGAAGATTTAAAATTGAATTGTATTAGCCTTTGCTAAATGTACAACAAAACTAATTATTTTAGGATCTGTACTGATTTGAAAAAGTTGATCAGGAAAATTATCTTTTTTTGAAAATGAAGTTTGTTGAAGGTCATATGTTTCTAAAGTTTCATTAAGAAATTTTGCAGCTTGTTGTAAATATTTTGACTTCAGAGGTTTCAATATACACAGAACAAATAGTGGTGCCGATTCTTAATTGTTATAGCAACTGAAAAGTACTCTTTAATGACCAGTGGTCGGCTCTAAGTCACTTCACTGGCATGAAAATAAAAGATATTTTTGAAAAAAGATTCTTGTATTTCTTTTTTTATTTCTTTTTTTCTATAACATACAATTATTTTGATACACTAAAACATTTATAAATACCCGAACAATATAATTAGACTCCAAACATTTTCAATTGGCGCCTAACTTGATGTTCTCTGTTGGACTGTGAGGTGCCTGCCTATAAAGAGTCACTTTTAGCCCTGATACATGGAGCTACTTGTAGGTACTGTGACATTACACGCTAGGTAACGCCGATTTCTTCTGTAATATAATTTCATTTCATTACAGAAATACATCGGAAAGTACAGCTTACCCGTATCAGCTGTTGATGATTCCGCCAAGTTCCGGGTGCTAGATGATTTACTGGTGAAGTTGAAATCTCAGGTAACACCATAACTAACCTTCAGCTGATTCCTATTCTGTCCTGAACGACACTGTACCCGAAATTATTTTAGCTCTATCGTTTGAAACTTTAATACTTCAAAAATGGCTTGACATGAATATATATATATGTACACATATGCACATTGTTCGTTGCTTAATCTTAACTCATTCACCCCTGAAAACACATTTGAACTCTTCCAATTCAAAGGTTGGAATAGTTCATAATGAAATTTCAGGGGTGAATGAGTTGAATACTTACAAGATGCCTTATCAGTGATTGGATGCAATTTGGTCATCTGCATTAAATGTAGTGATCAGCTACTTCCACAGTCCATCAATTTAAGGGGAATCTACTGATATTGTGGGTGGGGGTGGGGATGTTGTTATTGTGTGCCCTCTTTCAGGTCATTCTCTTTTTGTTATCACTGTAAGGTATGCTAATGTATACTGTTTTCTCAAGTAATGGAGTTCTGTGGTCAGTATTTGGGCACTGAACAATTTCAGGATGGCTGTTGATATTACCAATGATACACACTATGATTTAAGGTGAGCTGATGTATACTCCAAACTTTCATCTGTATTTTGGTCAGGTTATGAGGTGATAACTCCGCCAGCAGATATTGTTGTTAGTCATGGAAACTTGTCCTGTTCTTTGGTCAGGTTATGAGGCGATAACTCCAGTTTGCGGGGTAAATGGTTACGGAGTGAACTTCACTGTAGACTGTAAATATTTACGATATATTTTACGGTTTCAGGGTGACCATGTGCAGACTCTCTGTGCTCATTTTAATGATATCTTCTACAGTTTCAGGATGACCGTGACATTATATAAATACTACGTTCATTAGAGTATGACCCTGGGCACTGTCACACTCTAATGAATGTAGTATTTATTTTATTATACCGAAAGTAACATGGTGGCTGAAACGAACTGTACAGGCGTCTTTGCGGGGTCACTATTTTATTCCGTCAAACCACATCATCGTCCATTGCCAGGGCTTTGGGAAGCACACTTCCTTTGACAGAATGTTAAGGCGAATGTGGCAGTGTGAAATGAACAATTTGTATCTCAACCAATATGATAACAGGTTTTTCACAAGACATATAATAAAAACTGTATATTCTATGGTTTCACGGTGGCCATGTGCTGATATTAACATTGTTATCTATGATTTCAGGATGACCATGTTCTGATATTAACATTGTAATCTATGATTTCAGGATGACCGTGTTCTGATATTAACAGTATTATCTATTATTTCAGGTTGACCATGTTCTGATATTAACATTGTAATCTATGATTTCAGGATGATCGTGTTCTGATATTAACAGTATCATCTATTATTTCTGGATGACCGTGTTCTGATATTAACAGTATCATCTATTATTTCAGGATGACCGTGTTCTGACATTAACAGTATTATCTATGATTTCAGGATGACCGTGTTCTGATATTCAGTCAGTTTACAATGATGATGGACATCATGGAGGACTATCTCAAGCAGAAAAAATACAAGTACATGCGACTGGATGGGTCAACACCTGTGCCTGACAGGTCAGTGGTTACTTCCAAGAGGTCAGGGGTCAATCACAGTGACAAGGGTTAAAAGTCAAAAACTTTCTGATTCCCAGTGGTTCTCCCCTTCAAAACTTCTACAAATATTCCTTAAAATAATTTTCTTATTCCTGTATACTAGGAAACGCTTCCCTCAGTTTATCATTGGCCTTTTTCAATCTGTGTAATAGGGCAGGTTCATCCTATTTGCAAGTATTGAAGTACACAGCTTACTTTATAGTGTATTTGAGGACTGATTATTGAAATTAACGCTGAGTGTATATGGATTTTACTGACGAAGGGTAAAGTTTTCACTTGGTCATTGTTATTTGTCGTAAGGTTATAACTGTTATTTCCCCCTGTCTTGTTACACAGGAACATACAGCCAAGTTCCATTCTTACATCATTTTAGTGCACTAGGAGGAATATGATGTTTGAAGCAGATTTTGTTTGACATTGTAAAAATATATTTTCGTATTGACATTAAATAAAAATCACATGATATATTTCAGAAAACTGGCCAGTTGATATAAAATAGCAGAAAAATGGGAATATTGGTCGGATATTTCATTTACAACCTCCATTACATGTATTGAGAAACTAAATTACTGTATTAATTCGACAATAAGCCCATACCTGATAGTAAGCCTACCTATATCTATTGCAGTACAGAAGAGATGGCAACAAATGCTATTTCATTGTCCTGTATTAAGGCCAACCCTAACATTAGTCAGAGATTAAGTGTGGCCCATTTGACTTATTGCAGGATAAATATGGTAAGTGGAGTATAGCCTGTTGGTAAAAACTAAACAATGAAAACGTTTACTTTCATATTTCAGACTACAGATGATTGACAAGTATACAAACAATACGGACATATTCATCTTCCTGTTGTCAACGAAGGCTGGAGGTCTGGGGATCAACCTGACGGCAGCCAATGTTGTCATCATACACGACATTGACTTCAACCCCTACAATGACAAACAGGCAGAGGACCGCTGTCACCGTGTGGGACAGAAAAAGTAACACATTTCCCCATATCCTCACCACATTTTGTCTTATCCTCAACAGAGTTCTGCATCCATTTATCATAAATTTATTTCAAATATTGAGTTAACAGGTTCTAACTTATTTGTATCAATTAGTATTGAATTGAATTCAGCAATACTTGATACTGAAAAAGATTTTAGTTTACAAGTTGTTTCCGTTTTGCGAGGGAAACTAAGGAGGATGTGGGTTGGGACAGTTTTGTTAGAAGGGTATTCAACTCTTACACTAATATTAACCAGCTTATGCTTTCTCAAATCTTGCTATCAAACTTTAACGCTTATATTATACTTATGATATTGTTTCAGGGAGGTGTCCATAGTGAGGCTCATCGTCAAGGATACCGTGGAGGAAGGTATGCTGAGGTGTGCTCAAGAAAAACTTAAGTTGGAGAAGGACATCACAACAAGTGAAGGTAGGGTTGACAAAGATATGATTATTATTAATGAAATTATTGGTCAGTAAAACATCTAGGCTACATTCGCGTATCCGGTTGAAACGGTTGAACCGGTTGAACCTGTAAAGAAAACGACAGGTACAGATTTGGACCGAGGCTGACCTCAGGAAAATTTGGTACATGTAGATTGAGGGGTCCAGACGTACCTGACCGAAACTAAAATGCTGACTATTGCCAATTTCTTTCTTAAACAATGTCAAGTCACATATAATTTTTAAGATACGTTATGTAATTTAGTGGACGCATGAGAGAAGGGCATAATATTCATCATACATTGTTTTTTATTCTCAGAAACTGTGGATTTTTAGCTCTACTTATAGAACGGTCCAAGTGTGTTCGTTTATCGTGGAAAATTTCTGCATAACACGTACTGTTTCAACCGGGATACGCGAAAGTAGCCCAAGATACTGTATACACAGGAACTTTTGCCCAGTCACATATTCGCCCTTCAATTTATGAATCTATATTTGCTATTAGTAAATTTCCCCCTTCACATGTAATCACTATATAGAGTAAACTGTGTACTAATATTCACCGTCATGATAAATTCGCCCTTAATTCAGGGGGGCGACAAAGGTGAAAATCTAACTGCAGCGGGAAAAAATCCTGGTATACAGTATTTATACTGGAATATGTGAACAGTGGACCCTCATTAGGCTGAATACTTATATTTGTGTACAGAAGAACGTCATAAGTCTGTACACTTTGGTTTGTGAAATACACTTTTAGAATATTGTAGACAAATGATGTCATGTTGTAGACAATTGAACTTGGACCCCCTCTCCCCTCCAACAAGAAACTGTAATGAGTCACTATTATTTTCCTGTCAGTTGGTGTCTGTGAGCAATACGTCACTTAATAGATTATTTTTGCCGATTGGTTATACTCAGAACTGTCTATCTATCCGTCAAGAATTCGTTCCCTATTTGAGTTTATGAGTAATAATTTATTCAGATTTTCATACTATTGATGTCTTTGTAAATAAGGTTCTGCTGGTTGTACTTTTCGTAAACTTCCACTTCCTGAGTAAGATGACAGTTGATGATGTTTCTAACTTCAGGGTCGGACAAGGAGAGTGGTGCAGACGTGGCGTCATTACTGAAGGAAGCTTTGGGTCAGGGCAAGGTTTGATGACAGCTGGACGTAGGCTTAAGACAATTGTGCGATTGCTGGACGTTCAAGTACGGAACCTCTGTTCAAGGAATTTGTATGGCTCCAATGAGATTGTTTAGTGCTATTGACATACGTGTCCTCTTGATCGCCAGTGGACTTGTGCAACGAGCAACTGTTGTGTATATTTGGCCTAGTTTACGTACCTATTTCAATATATAAAGTGGACAATGGTTCTTGCCATTAGGACAATCAATCAACAATTGAATTGTACATAAGGTACATGAAGTTGTGACTCTCTAGATACTGTTTGTCGGGACTAATGATGAACAGCTGATAGGTACATATAAAGAGTGCTAGTTTTGGGATCGATAACCAACTTAGTGCGAGGACAGATCCATCTAGGGTGCCATCACTCAGGGAAGATGAATTTTCTAAAACTGAGCCTGAGAAATGATCTGAATCTTACGTTTGAGAAGGACAATGTAAATTTTCATCCAGGGCTCAGTAACTGACATAAGTGTAATTGAGTACAGTAATACGTAACATTGTAACTACATCAGCATTTGAAAAGCTCTTGGTTTGTTTAGTGTTCCTATCCTCATGGGATTTAATCCTTTCACCCCTATGTAACTTTAGTAAACATTACCATGCGTTGATATGGATGAGTCCATTATGGTCTACAGGGGTGAAAGGGTTAATCCTGCCTCTGTGTAAAAACTCAGCTGCATAATTCAACGTGATACAAGAAGTCAAATAAAAGGAAGTGACATCATTTAAAGGTGACACAGGAAAGTAAGGGTAAACTATCTGCTAAATGATCAATCATGCCATTCACTCCCCTTGTTGTAGTAAATGACCAATGGTATTAGAGCATTATCTGCTACAATAGATTTTCAATACATAAATCAAATATTTTAATTATTTATTCTTGTCAGCACTATATTTAGTGCTCCAATATAAGCGTGAAAATTGATGAAATCCTATTTGTGCTTCAAACTTATAGTGCTATGTATAAGGATAGGACGGAGTGCATTCAGTTTTTGCAATAAATGTTTTTCTGTACATTGAACAGTTTGTTCACGAAAACCTGTTAACTAGATTTTGGTGCGTTAAGTGTCTTTCCAATGTTTTTCCTTCTCAATTCCATTCTGAATGAGACTATTTTCAACTTTAATGAAATAAAAAATTGTTACAAACTACGATCTTAAATGATGTATTAATTGAACTTGTAAACACGTTCCTATAATTCACTGTCCTGTAATTTTTGTCAGAAACGTGTTTTTTTTATAAAGATTATTTGTATTTATTGCTAAATTTAAACATATTTCTATTTATTGAAAATGAGAATTATCTTTTTCCTGGAAATGATACAGTGTATGAATCATTGAAAAAAATATTTGTTTTAGCATATGAATGGCAGATATTCCAACTTTCTTAACCAGGCTCATTGAAATAACTGATTTGTAGATGGAATATCTGTTTCTTGGTCAATGATGTGATGTAAAATTTGTCTTTTCAACTGTACATATAAAACTGCATATGTCAGAAACGGGGTAAAGAATTCTCAAAAAACAAATGATATATAGGCAAATCAACCTGTCCCTGCAATTTTTCATCAGTATTATTTGGATCGGTGTTTTTTTGGGTTTTTTTTATTGACACAAAAAGATATGAAATATGTCTTCATTACAATATAGAGTATGAAGTGTTTGTCTATTCAAAGTCTGTGCGACACCTTGGTTAGACTTTGCCATTAGCTCCATAACTCTAGAAGTCCAACAGTCATCAAAGATGTGCATCAAATGTAGGTCACCATGATCTTTATTTTCTGTACATGTGTCATTTTTTTTTCTGACTTCACATTTAGNTCACTTAAAATTGGTCTAGGAATGATCAGCTCATGGTCCTGACAAAGTTAAGTTAACATTATACTATTTTTTACTCAAATTGGTACATATTTCAACCACAAAAATAAATACTATAGACTCAGGTGACCGTTAAGGCCCATGGGCCTCTTGTTTGGTTAGACTTTTTGTTTAGCTCCTCTCCTATCAAAAGGAGATTGAGGACATATGTATATTCTGCTAACGTTTTCTAGTTGTCATTTGTTGTAAACAGAGAAATATTTTCATATTTGATTTCAATAAGTTTATTTTTTTATTTTTATGGATGGCTCTCTGATTAGAGTAAAAATATGTACATATTGTGAAAACTGGTCGTTTATTTCATTTCAATCTCAAAAATTGAGAAAACAAGAATGGGATAGACTATAGTCATGTTGGGACATTAACATTTCCCGTTACTTCACATGGCACTGTTTGATTACAGTCTTGTGTAGATGTCATAATGAATGGTAAAGTTTTATAGAGAATGAGTGAGAAATATGGAAGATTTAATATGTATGACACGTGATAATGTGATTCAGAGATTTTAGTTCTGGATCACTGTTTTAAATGTGTATATTGTAGTGTAATTGACAAACATCTGTGAATAAATTGTTCATTCAATGTGAAAGTTGTCCGTGCTGTTCATTTGGGCCATCTTTCGGGTCTGTAGGTAAATTACCTCAGAATTAAAAAAATCTAAGATTTCACATGGTGATACACTATTTGTGTAGATGTGTAATGAGGGTTTAACATTATAATATCAGTAAATATCAGTACTTATGACTAAAAGTCAAAAGAACCTGTTAAAAGATTTAAAAACATTTGACCCTTGTGACCTTGAAAGTCAAACAAGGTCATTACGTTGAACATATTTTATAGCCCTTCATCTCAGCATGCAACTTGCCAAATATCACTACCCTAGACATTTTTTTTTATTGAGATTAGGTCATTTAAAGGTTTATACATATTTGACCAAATGTGACCTTGAAAGTGGGACAAGGACATTCAAATGAAAAACCCTTAAAGCCTGTCATACAAGCATGCTACTGGCCAAATATCAACATTCTGGGCCTCATGGTTATTCAGAATAAATCGTTTAAAGAATTTAAACATATTTGAACCCTGTGACCTTTGAATATAAGTCAAGGTCATTCATTTTAACAAATTTGGTGTGGTAGCCCTTCATCCTAGCATGCTACTGGCCAGATATCAACATTCTGGGCCTTATAACAAACTTGGTAGCACTTCATGCCAGCATATACAGGCTAAATATCATCATCCTGGGCCTTTTTGTTTTTCATCAGAATTTCTTTCAAGATTTCAAACATATCTGATCCCTGTGATCTTTAAATATAAGCCAAGGTCATTCTTTTCAACAAACTTGGTCGCCCTTCATCCAAGCATGCTACTGGTCAGATATCAACATTCTGGGCCTCATGGTTAATCAGAAGTTGTTTAAAAGAGTTTAAACATATTCGATCCCTGTGACCTTCAATATAGATCAAGGTCATTGATTCAAACAAAATTTGTAGCCCTTCATGCCAGCATACTACAGACCTAATTTCAGTACCCTGGGCCTTTTGGTTATTGAGAAGTGGTGAAGATTTTACGACATTTGACTCCTGTGACCTTGAAAGTAGGTCAATGTCATTCATTTCAACAAACTTGGTCTATTGCTAAATATCATCACTCTGGACCTTTTGGTTAATCATCAGAAGTTGATTAAAGGGTTTTCAAACCAATTGACCCCTGTGACTTGAATGAGTGAAGGCATTCATTTGAACAAACTTGGTAGCTCTTTATCCCAGCATGCTACTGGCCAAATATCATCGCCCTGGGCATTTTGGTTATTCAGAGGAAGTTGTTTCATGTTTTTAACATATTTGACCCCTGTAACTTTGAATATTGGTATAGGTAATTTATTTGAGCAAATTTGGTAGCCCTTTATCCCAGCATGCTACAGACAAAATATCAACATCCTGGGTATTTTGGTTGTTCAGAAGAAGTTGATTACCAGGTAAAGGTTTTTCAAGACAATTGATCCCTGTGATCTTGAATACATGCGGTCATTCATTTGAACATATTTGGTAGCCCTGCATACAAGCATACTACTGGCCAGATATCACTAGGCCTTTTGGTTATTCAGAAGTTGTTTAAAAAGTTTAACATATTTTACCCCTGTGACCTTGAATATGGGTGAAGGGAATATTGGTGAAGGTCATTTATTTGAACAAATTTGGTAGCCCTTCATCCCAGCATGCTACTGACCAAATATCACCATACTGGTCCTTTTGGTTTTTGCAAGACAATTGACCACAGGCCTGTGACCTTAAATATAAGTGAAGGTCATTAATTTGAACAAACTTGGTAGCCCTTCATCCCAGCATGCTACTGGCCAAATATCATCACCCTGGGCATTTTGGTTATTTATATTTATATTTTATTTTTTTGACATATTTCACCCCTGTGACCCTGAAAATTGGTGAAGGTAATTTATTTGGACAACCTTGGTAGCCCTTTATCCCAGTTTGCTTCTGGCCAAATATCATCACCCTTGGCCATTTGGTTATTAAGAAGAAGTTGTTTAAAGTAAAATATTGACGCTGGACGCCGCACCACAGCATAAGCTCACTTGGCCCTTTGGCCAGGTAAACAAATAAAAATAGAACAGGGATGATATGCTGTCAAAATGCACTATATTTCCCTTTCTGACTCACCAGTGACAATGAGTGTGTTCTTTTTTGTATGATCCCTAAATCAAAGATGGCTGCCAGTCAGGTTCACTTTCCATCACAGCAACTTTTGTTCTGTTCAGTGTTGATACTAGAATTTCCCTACTGTAGTAATTGCCTTGTGAGTCGGAGATACGGAATTATTTCTATGACATATTTGACAATATTGACCTTGTGTTTATCTGAAATCGCATCAGAACCATTTTTTTCTGTAGTTTCATCAATACATGTACCAGTATTTATTAATATGGTTCGAACAAATTTATGCACTTTCAAAAAATAACCTCATGACCATACCTTTAACTTCCAAAATCTAAATTTATCCAACCCAGAATGTTGTGTGTAGTAGCTTTAGTACCAGTTGGTCAATCTATATAAAATCAATTGTGTTCACAAGTATTTATACAGTATAAATATTTCGGTGTGTATGTGGAGTGATTTTCATCTACATGTACAGAATGCTGTGGAATTATGTAGACAGTACCAGTTATTGACATAAACCATCAGTTACTATTGGTAATTAATACAAATATTAAAGTTTATAAGCTGAACTTTCCAAATTACAAATGATTATTATTAATGGACAATGTATGTGTAAAAACCTGTTTGTATGACATTATATTTACTCCATTAATCTATTCCCATAAAAGCCAATGGCGATTGATGGTTCAAGTCAACAGTTGATGCACAAGATTTTGGGTGGATGAATGTGATTGGCAATATAACCGCAGAAAGATTTTGGTTTTGTTTAATTTTGTTTAATGTCCTTTTAACAGATAAGATCATTTAAGGACGTGCCTCCATGAAGGCAACACACTTGCAGACTCTGCTCCATAGTAGGGGCATTAAAACAGGTTTCTGGAGTCCCGACATGACTGGAAATTAACAAACAAGAAACGATAAAAATCATTTGTTATAAATTGTATTAGGTAAGCATTTTCTTTCAGTAACATTTTTCCATTACAGACTTCCATAGCAGCCGTGTAGTCGCAGGCAGTTTACACAACGTTACTGACTGTCATACACAGCGTCGCATCCAGTCAATTTCAGCTATTTATACATAAGCCATTCGTAATATATATAGCCTTCTATGTTCAAAATGGCAGGTTTATTCTATCTTTGCTGTATAATGGTTTATAAAACACCACGCAGACATGAAAGTAAACATGGACCTCGACATATACATATATATATATTTCATTATCACTTTTCATTGCAAAAACACTTTAACAGACTTAATCTCATTCTCACAGTACAATATATTCTGAATACATGTTCTGATATTGTGTTAGCTATATACAGCGACACCTAGGGGTATTAACAACTCATTCCCCAGGATATAACATTCTTGATATTTGCATGGAAACCTGTCCAGATTACCTCTGTTTGACTAATCCAAGTGTTTGACAAGGTTGAGGGACATGTCAGAGGATTACGACAGAGATATACATGTTTGTGTACGTCCTCCTTATAGATGGCAGAGGATTATTATTAGATACCCAAGTGTGTGTACACTTTATGTAACTTGTAGAGGATAGTTATCGAAAGATACTCAAGGTCAATGTGCCCTACCTGTGAGGAGTGAGAGATGGAGGATAGTTATATTATTAGAGGTCAATGTGCCCTCTTAGTAGGGTGGGTTGGGTGAAATGTAGTTATAAAAAAGATACACAACATGTGTATTATCTCTAGCACTAATTACAATTTATTAAGTGTTTGGTAATCACAGGTCCAATTGGGTTTTTAACTGGTACAAAAATTCTCACTTTTCAAAAGCAGAATTTATATTCATCAACAAAGCATCACATTTATACAATGATAAGATAATCCTTGACTGGATCTATTTGACATGGACTGATCAAACTAGTTTCCATGGCATTACTAATGCAGTATTAAATGCCATCGTCATAACACCAATGTAACTGGTACGTATACAGACAATCGAATAATGATCTAACCGGTACACAGTACAAGAACAACTCAAATAATGATCTAACCGGTACACAGTACAAAAACAACTCAAATAATGATCTAATGGAGAATTGTTACTGGGTACAACTGACCTAGACAATGATCTAATGGGGAATTGATACTGGGTACAACTGACCTAGACAATGATCTAATGGAGAATTGATACTGGGTACAACTGACATAGACAATGATTTAATGGGGAATTGATACTGGGTACAACTGACATAGACAATGATCTAATGGAGAATTGATACTGGGTACAACAGACATAGACAATGATCTAATGGAGAATAGATACTGGGTACAACTGACCTAGACAATGATCTAATGGAGAATTGATACTGGGTACAACAGACATAGACAATGATCTAATGGAGAATTGAAACAATATAACCCTACAACATATACAACACTAAAAGTCGCTGATAATGTATTACATTTTTTGTTGTCTTTAGGTTTCAAACAAGTTTTATTTTGTCAAACATGTATTTGAATACATTTCTACTTACTGGCGGCAACTAAAACTCTTACAACCAGGTACCTTATGTAACAGAAGCAATCAAAATGTGACATGTCCAAATCATGCATTCTTTGTTAAAATATCAAACAAATGATGGAATTATGTGTAAACACAATCTTTCAGACTACATATGTGTGAAACATATGCACAGAGGAGCTTATCTCAAAGACGACAGTTAATGGGTCATTGTTAGGTGCTATTTTATGGAACAGGTTTTGTCACCCACAAATTTGCCATTAGTTCATACATCTAGTTCACAACCTTCTACTAGTTCATAACCTTGAACTAGTTGATAGATATTTACTGAACATGTCTGTTTTCTACTGTGTATGATGTTTTACATTACAGGGGATCAGCGTGTAATTGACGTGAAACAAAACAGATGGACATAAAACATAAATGCACAGGTTTAAAACATTTGCTAACATATAAAGACTTGTAAAATAATCGATCTTATCAAATGTGATAAAACAATAAACATTGACCGGAGGAATTTTCAGCTGACCTTTATAATTATTAATTTATCATACCAATAATTCATTATACATGGAATGTACAGATATTGGAATTGAAGGACAAACTTAAAATATTTTCATCAACGACAAAAATGTGAAATGTACAATAATCTTATAATCTGCCATACTTTGGGGCTAAAATTCTGTGTTTTGAGACCAGGTTTTGTAAGTCACGCGTGTTTCACAAGATAAACTGGTATATTTAGAAATGCATGCATCACAAAAATATTAAAATTTTCATGAAAAAATGCAGCACTAACAGCATCAACTGGTAGGATAACAGGACAAAAGTATAACTTATGGCACTGTGGTTCCCATGACAACACAGAATGGTACTTATCAACAAGATACAATATTTATCAGTTTCTCTCTCATTTCTTTACAATTTGTTAACGCTTGCGTAGTGTTAATTCCAACATTGCCAGTAGTTTGAGGACAACAATAAAAAAATCAACTCCTTTCTAAAGTCATTCACACTGAGCAGATGTATATAGCTATCACAATTGATATATCACACAATGCAAGGGAGATAACCCTACATGTTTTTTTAGCAGAGTTGTATTATTTCCCCAATCATTATATCACATGTTCATTTTATTGGCAGTAAGCACCAAAATAAAACACTCAAAATGCAACTTTTAACAGAAATAGCTTATATAAGCATAAAAAACAAACATTATGCTTCATAAAGAATATTCTATAATGAATATTAGCTATTGAATAATAAAATATTCAATTTTTAAAAAATTCAGATATATTCCAAGTACAAATTTCTCTTCACTGGTAGAATTTTAACTTGAACTGGAGAAAGATTAAAGAACATTTGATACAAAATGTACTTTCTGTTCTTACCATCCAAGCTAATCAATAACAAAATATGAAATAAGACAATGCAAAAATTGACTATCAGTCCTTGACCTCCTGACTTGAGTCCCCCATGGGACAGCATCCGATAAACAAAGGCAGTGATTTCTTTAATTCAACTTTCAAAATCAGTACACAAAATTTCTGTCTTCATTTGATAGAACTGCATGAATATTTTTCAAAACCAACACTTAAAACAAAATATGCTTGGGATAGATCTCCGAGAGAAACAGATGTATTACTGATCTCCCAGAGAAACATTTATAAATGCGATAAGGGATGAATGGTGTCGAACAGCTCATTCTCTTTAAAGGTTCACATAACCTTCAGATTTTCCACATGAAATCAATGACAAATGCATTAACTGAAAAGTAGCATGTGATACTGGCATTGATGCTATTGAAGACGGCAGGCTGATGAAATGGTAACTTGAGATGAAGATGTGAGCGCTCTCAGGACGGCGGTTTGGTCTGTTTCTGTAGTTTTTGGACGGATAAGATGGGGATGTGTTGGTTTTTTGGACTCCCAGACCGAGATCGTTCCTGTCGGCGTGTCATCGACTCCTAGATGAAAGGAGAAATTGAAAAATTGTAGATGTCTGTCTTATATTGGGATTGTTGCTTTTCTGATTTCAGGGTAAGTTTGTATTATATATATATACACATCTATCACCTTTAATACTAAGGAAATTTTTGATATTTCACATTGTAAAATAAAATCACAATTTTAAGTGTGGACATCACAAGCTTTAAAATGTAAAAGATTCACTGTAAAATCATGTCTTGCATTAAACTTTCTCCTCTTATGAGTACAATCATGCAGTTGAGAACAAAATAGTTCTGATTTATAGAGTTAGTTTAGAAAACAAAAATTGCAAAATTCATTGAAAACTTTCCAGGCTTCATCTGATTCAGGAATTTGTGAAGATAATGCTGACAAATTAACCTTGTACACTTGCTACATTTCATTATATCTTCTTCAAATTTTTAAAGATGCTTGATTAAAATTCATGTACAGTATATTGTAGTTTCTTACATTAGCAAATTTAATATATTCCGCTTTATACTCTTACTCAATTCATCAATTTACGTAGGTATTCAATTTCTTCACTCCAGACAAAATCCTGTCACTACTGATAGCCTACAAACATGTCTAGCAGTTTTAGCCAAAGGAGTATAAAGAACGGGCAGTTTTTGAGTTAATACGGTAATCAGTTTCACAGTGTAATGTGATGTGTGGTGATGGAAAACAGTGAAAATACAATTCATACATCTACACAATTTTTTTTATCACATTATATTCACCAATTAAGGAATACAATCGTTTTTTACCACTTACATTGTATTATGAAAAAATATTAAAAATCCAAAAACTGTTTACTTAGTTTACTTCAACTCTCACAGACATCAAACATCTGCTAAAATGAAAACTTTCAGTTTGTTTCATAAATAACTTAAAAATAAATAAAAATGAATTGAAATATTAAAATTACCAATAACAGCTTCTTAGAAAAGATGCAAATTATATGTTCTTTCGTTTATTAACAATTTTTGAATTTCAATCAATATTTAAGTATTTATTATGAAAAAACCCACCTGTTACATATTCTCTATAACTCTGATGACACAGGTAGTAAAACTGTGAACATTTCCAAACATTAATTTAACACTAGAACAAAACAAAATTACTGGTGAATGACCATGAACATACGTGCCAGATTAGAATTACAGAAACAAAACACTGAAATCTTACACACTGAAAACATTAAATAAAACAAACATTTTAAGATGATGATGCAGCAAAGCCATCTACCATTCACACAAATCTGGCCAGAAAAATAACAGTAACATTCATTGTTTACATCTACCTTTCATCTTTAGTGTTTCCTCAATCCTGATAAACATCAATTAAAAAAACGAAAGAAAAAATTAACAGAAGGAAATAAATTGTGCAAAGCTTCTTTAACTCAACTTAAACCAAATCTCCATTTGGTGTCACAATCACTCTCAATACTGTCCTGCATTTCTTGTGTATGACCACCAATGATAGATAGATTCCTTTTCTCTTGAATATGAAGGTAACTGATCGATTTAAATTTACGTTTTTTTAAATTACCAAAATTTTATTCTCGAAACAAAAAAATATATGGGTTCCATCATAAAAACAAATTCATTATATGATCAGTACAAAATCACAGAGAGAAAAATTTGAAGTTAATTACTTGCCCCAATATAAGTGATTACTTAAAGGTGAAAAAAAGCCACATACAAAAAAACGAAATAGTTTACACAAAACAAATTTACCGCACGGAAAATAAATTGGCAAAAAAGAATAACAAGCTACATGAATAACTTATAAAATCTTCTACAGTGAATGAACAGAAATACAGACTTACAAAATAAAATATTTAACCATATACAACAGTAAATCTGCTGCTATATATATTTTGATATATCATTGGTTAGTACTTACCATCATGACTGCACCAGCCGAGTTTGACATGGCTGATTTTTCTGCCAGGTTCTCCTATTGAAAAAAAATGTGCACATGATTTATACGCCCTATTTAACAAAGAAATACATAGAGATACTGAAACAGCAAAATATGTTTGTTTGGTTTAGATATATATATCGATGATAGGAGCTGTCAGGGTTTGGAGGACTTAATTTGGTACTGAGTTATGAGTTACCTGTAATAATTGCTATTTCAAAGCACCAGCCAGTTCTATTATAGGGCCTCAGTATAACAAACAGTAAATTATATATAGTATGGTGCTTTGATTTTGCCGGGTTAAAATCCTACAGTTTTATTTTCAAAATTTGGAAAAGGACACATGTATTGCGGAATAAAACATGATAACTTGAAGTGCTATACAGTATATATATACAAAAACATTTGATCAAGAACTTGTTTTGTTGGTCCTCAAGTTTATATGGCTTTGGAACATATTAGTTTAACAGTAAAACTGGGGTAATACCTCATGTGGTTACCTCAGAGCCACTCCTACCAGGGTCCACCTGTTTATATGGCCTTGGTACATATTAGTTTAACAGTAATACTGGGGTATACCCCAGGTGGTTACCTCAGAGCCACTCCTACCAGGGTCCACCTGTTTATATGGCTTTGGTACATATTAGTTTAACAGTAATACTGGGGTATACCCCAGGTGGTTACCTCAGAGCCACTCCTACCAGGGTCCACCTGTTTATATGGCCTTGGTACATATTAGTTTAACAGTAATACTGGGGTATACCCCAGGTGGTTACCTCAGAGCCACTCCTACCAGGGTCCACCTGTTTATATGGCCTTGGTACATATTAGTTTAACAGTAATACTGGGGTATACCCCAGGTGGTTACCTCAGAGCCACTCCTACCAGGGTCCACCTGTTTATATGGCCTTGGTACATATTAGTTTAACAGTAATACTGGGGTATACCCCAGGTGGTTACCTCAGAGCCACTCCTACCAGGGTCCACCTGTTTATATGGCCTTGGTACATATTAGTTTAACAGTAATACTGGGGTATACCCCAGGTGGTTACCTCAGAGCCACTCCTACCAGGGTCCACCTGTTTATATGGCCTTGGTACATATTAGTTTAACAGTAATACTGGGGTATACCCCAGGTGGTTACCTCAGAGCCACTCCTACCAGGGTCCACCTGTTTATATGGCCTTGGTACATATTAGTTTAACAGTAATACTGGGGTATACCCCAGGTGGTTACCTCAGAGCCACTCCTACCAGGGTCCACCTGTTTATATGGCCTTGGTACATATTAGTTTAACAGTAATACTGGGGTATACCCCAGGTGGTTACCTCAGAGCCACTCCTACCAGGGTCCACCTGTTTATATGGCCTTGGTACATATTAGTTTAACAGTAATACTGGGGTATACCCCAGGTGGTTACCTCAGAGCCACTCCTACCAGGGTCCACCTGTTTATATGGCCTTGGTACATATTAGTTTAACAGTAATACTGGGGTATACCCCAGGTGGTTACCTCAGAGCCACTCCTACCAGGGTCCACCTGTTTATATGGCCTTGGTACATATTAGTTTAACAGTAATACTGGGGTATACCCCAGGTGGTTACCTCAGAGCCACTCCTACCAGGGTCCACCTGTTTATATGGCCTTGGTACATATTAGTTTAACAGTAATACTGGGGTATACCCCAGGTGGTTACCTCAGAGCCACTCCTACCAGGGTCCACCTGTTTATATGGCCTTGGTACATATTAGTTTAACAGTAATACTGGGGTATACCCCAGGTGGTTACCTCAGAGCCACTCCTACCAGGGTCCACCTGTTTATATGGCCTTGGTACATATTAGTTTAACAGTAATACTGGGGTATACCCCAGGTGGTTACCTCAGAGCCACTCCTACCAGGGTCCACCTGTTTATATGGCCTTGGTACATATTAGTTTAACAGTAATACTGGGGTATACCCCAGGTGGTTACCTCAGAGCCACTCCTACCAGGGTCCACCTGTTTATATGGCCTTGGTACATATTAGTTTAACAGTAATACTGGGGTATACCCCAGGTGGTTACCTCAGAGCCACTCCTACCAGGGTCCACCTGTTTATATGGCCTTGGTACATATTAGTTTAACAGTAATACTGGGGTATACCCCAGGTGGTTACCTCAGAGCCACTCCTACCAGGGTCCACCTGTTTATATGGCCTTGGTACATATTAGTTTAACAGTAATACTGGGGTATACCCCAGGTGGTTACCTCAGAGCCACTCCTACCAGGGTCCACCTGTTTATATGGCCTTGGTACATATTAGTTTAACAGTAATACTGGGGTATACCCCAGGTGGTTACCTCAGAGCCACTCCTACCAGGGTCCACCTGTTTATATGGCCTTGGTACATATTAGTTTAACAGTAATACTGGGGTATACCCCAGGTGGTTACCTCAGAGCCACTCCTACCAGGGTCCACCTGTTTATATGGCCTTGGTACATATTAGTTTAACAGTAATACTGGGGTATACCCCAGGTGGTTACCTCAGAGCCACTCCTACCAGGGTCCACCTGTTTATATGGCCTTGGTACATATTAGTTTAACAGTAATACTGGGGTATACCCCAGGTGGTTACCTCAGAGCCACTCCTACCAGGGTCCACCTGTTTATATGGCCTTGGTACATATTAGTTTAACAGTAATACTGGGGTATACCCCAGGTGGTTACCTCAGAGCCACTCCTACCGGGGTCCACCTGTTTATATGGCCTTGGTACATATTAGTTTAACAGTAATACTGGGGTATACCCCAGGTGGTTACCTCAGAGCCACTCCTACCGGGGTCCACCTGTTTATATGGCCTTGGTACATATTAGTTTAACAGTAATACTGGGGTATACCCCAGGTGGTTACCTCAGAGCCACTCCTACCGGGGTCCACCTGTTTGGAAAGACGAACTCCACTGAAGGATGCATTCCTTTTCACTCCCGACTGGGCACTAGTCTTCTTACTGGGTGTCGTTGGAGATGTGTTCTTGATCTTGTGATCGGAACTGGTCCTGTGATGTATAACGGTTACAATGAGTTAAATACTAAGGACACCAGTATAAATTATATACATTACATCAAACTGCAGGGAGTTCCCCAGGTTCATTTTAATACATGAAATGTTCAGGTGTAACTAAAGTCAAACTTCAATGGTTCAGCCCCCTTCCCATGCAAATGAGGATGGATTATGTGATGAATGGATTTTTAGGACAACTTTTTATAGAAAAAGTCCCAGCTGTCCTCTAAAACACTGGCTGACTAATGGAACAATTGATTCAGTTTTGGCTCCAATGTATCTGTGCCCTACAGTACTGAATGAAACCTTACCTTCTGTGAGCCTTGTTGTGATGGCTTGAGTTCTGTGACACTACCTTAACCTTGCTGTCTGTGTGTGGTGTGACGGCATTGATCCTGTGGTACATCTACTACCCTGACCTTTTGCAAGTCTTGTCAGTTGTGCTGAAGGTGTGGGCCCTCGTGGTACTACACTAACCTACTGTGTGTGAGTGTTGTGCTAAGGACTTGGACCTAGTGGTACTATACTTACCTACTGTGTGTGAGTGTTGTGCTAAGGACTTGGACCTAGTAGTACTACACTTACCTACTGTGTGTGAGTGTTGTGCTAGGGACTTGGACCTAGTGGTGTTACACTTACCTACTGTGTGTGAGTGTTGTGCTAAGGACTTGGATCTAGTGGTACTACACTTACCTACTGTGTGTGAGTGTTGTGCTAAGGACTTGGACCTAGTGGTGCTACACTTACCTGCTGTGTGTGAGGTTGTGCTAAGGACTTGGACCTAGTGGTACTACACTTACCTACTGTGTGTGAGTGTTGTGCTAAGGACTTGGATCTAGTGTACCATTACCTTCTATGAGACTTGTTGTGAGGGCCTAGGTTCTGTGACACTACCCTTACCTTCTATGAGCCTTGTATTGGCGGCATGGGTTCGGTGACACTACCCTTATTGTCTGTGTGCCTTGTGATGGTATTGACCTTGTGGTACTACCCTTACCTTCTGTGAGTCTTGTGTTGACGACATGGGCCCTGTGGTACTACCCTTACCTTCTGTGAGTCTCGTGTTGGCGATTTGGGCCCTGTGGTACTACCCTTACCTTCTGTGAGTCTTGCGTTGACGACATGGGCCCTGTGGTACTACCCTTTCCTACTGTGTGTGAGTGCGTTGACGACATGGGCCCTGTGGTACTACCCTTACCTTCTGTGAGTCTTGTGTTGGCGACATGGGCCCTGTGGTCCTACCCTTACATTCTGTGAGTCTTGTGTTGGCGACATGGGCCCTGTGGTACTACCCTTACATTCTGTGAGGCTTGAGTTGATGACATGGGCCCTGTGGTACTACCCTTACATTCTGTGAGTCTTGTGTTGGCGATTTGGGCCCTGTGGTACTACCCTTACCTTCTGTGAATCTTGTGTTGGCGATTTGGGCCCTGTGGTACTACCCTTATATTCTGTGAGGCTTGTGTTGATGACATGGGCCCTGTGGTACTACCCTTACCTTCTGTGCGTCTTGTGTTGACGACATGGTCCCTGTGGTACTTCCCTTACATTCTGTTAGGCTTGTGTTGATGACGTGGGCCCTGTGGAACTACCCTTACCTTCTGTAAGTCTTGTGTTGACGATTTGGGCCCTGTGGTCCTACCCTTACCTTCTGTAAGTCTTGTGTTGACGATTTGGGCCCTGTGGTCCTACCCTTACCTTCTGTGAGGCTTGTGTTGACGACATGGACCCTGTGGTACTACTCTTACCTTCTGTGAGTCTTGTGTTGAAGACATGGGCCCTGTGGTCCTACCCTTACCTTCTGCGAGGCTTGTGTTGACGACTTGGGCCCTGTGGTACTGCCCTTACCTTCTGTGAGTCTTGTGTTGACGACGTGGGCCCTGTGGATCATCTGACTGATTCCCAGAGGAGTTATCACTATGGTGGTGTGGGGCCGGTTTCTCTGTGACAGGTATGCAGGATGCCACTGGCTCGCTTTCGCTGCCACTGAGCTGCCGCTGTCGCCTATAAACTATGCTTTCCTCAGCACCAGTAGGCACCTCACTTGTTGACTTAAGCTTTGGTTTTGGTCCTCGATCTCTGATTTCCCCTTGAGTTTTTGACATGTTAGATAACTTTTGTAAGAGTTTTGACACAATCCCTGTATTGTTTGTCCGATTACCACCATCCATATCTAAATGCCTTGCTGCAGAGGATTCACTAACATCACTCTCTGAGCCATTGGATGGTGATCTCCTTCGATCAACATATGTTGGAGAGGCTGTTTTTGATGGTGTGCGTCTACCACCGTCCGACACATCCTCATTACTTGCGATCCTGCGCACGCGTGGAGGAAGAGCCGCTTTGTTTGCCGTGTCACCACCCTCAAGTGGAGACACAGGTTTGTTAGAGAAGCGCTGTTCTAGTAAGTCAGCGACACTCTTTTTTCTGTCCACTTGTAATTTAGTTTCCGAGATGTCGAAGGGTGCAGGACTACCTGGACGACTGCTAGGCCTTTTACTGCCATCTATGACAGGAATACCATGAACCTCACAACCAGATTCTTTTGTCCAAGCTTTTTTCACATCCTTGACATTGGTAGTGCTATCAATGTCTTTCCTCCACTCATACACCGGGTTCTGCAGGTCCTTACTCCGTGTCCGTCTATGACCCTTTTGTGTAGATTCGTTTGGAATTGCCCCAGCATCTTGCGTTGGCACATTGAGAATTTTCGTCTCTGGAGATGAACTAACACTAATGTTGGGAGCACTAGGCAATGATCCAGGACTGTCGACAAGGCTTACTTCTGTGGATGGCATCTCTGTCACTTTCTCCTTGCTTCGTGTCCGACGGTGAGTTTTCACAAATTGTTCCTTTACACCACCATCCCCACCATGCAAGGCAGCTCTTGTGGCTGCGATGGCAGACAACAGAGAATTCTGGCTGTCAATGGTAAATGTTTCTGACATTTTGGATGCACTGAGAGAATTTTCCTTGCACCGACTGCCTGCAGGTGGTGACTGGTGCGATTCTTTTGGGATAGGATGTGTCGACTCTTGTTGTCGTACTCCAATAGTTAACCCATCATTAGGTGAATCTCGGCTCCGATTGCGTCGATGTGTATGTAATTTTGGTTGCACAAAAATTCCATCACTGTTAGTGTTTGACCTTGAACTGCCGGGTCGTTCTGACCTTGAACTAGGTCGTTCGCGCTCCTTCACATTTTCTTGATCACTAGCACTAGACTCCTTGCCGCGAGCATGTGCTTGGCGCTTGTCCTGTCTGGGAGATTTAATGCGTCGCTGTCGACGCTGAGGGACATGATTGCGTGCAACATCTGAACTTTCTGTTGAATATTTCTCGTCACTATCGTCACTGTCACTACTTAACGACTGTTTACGGGGCAGGCTGCTACCTTGTGAAACACCTGCCATTAAAATGTTGGACATGTTGGACTCCCCTAGCGATGACACTGCCTTTAAATAGATCCTGCAAAACAAACAACATCATGGTTTTTTAATGCAAAGGCTTCAAAAGAATGCAAATAATTGAATCCAACTGTTCAGCGAACATTATCATTACGAATCCTTTCAAGGCAATCACAAAATCATAACAAGGTAATTACACCCACATTAGGTCTACCCCAGTCTGGGTTAGATGTGGTTGTTCTCTTATACAAATGGCTAGAAAGTGCTTTCTTACTTGTAGGTGAGCTGTGTGTTCAGTCCGTGGATCAGGGCTCGGAGGAGATTGTTGGCTAGCATGGACGTTGGTTTCTCATCCACATAGACTCGGTACCCTGTCATAGAACAGCACCAGATTAAATCAGCGCTGCCACCTTGACAAAGTTTGGGGCTGAAGTATCGGCAAAATACACACCAGGAATTCCCACATAGCACATGTATTCCTTCCTCTTAATATCATGCGTCATTTATCAGTGAAAAATATCACATTGAATTTCTCGTTTTCAAAGCAAAAGGAAAATGTGATATTTTCCTTGTCAAAACTTAACAAAATGTGATAAATTTGGAAACTGCTAATAGAACATTTTTATCTAGAGGAATTCTTATCAAAGCACACAAAATAAGAGATTTCTGATTTCTGGCAGCTATAACTTATAAGATGCAAAGCTAGAGAACAGGAAGAACCTACTTATGAAATTTGAGAAAGATCTTCAATTCACTTTTCTTGTTCTCCTGATAATCACTATTCCAAAACTTGAAAACTAACAACATACATAAGAAATTTGAAAAAGATTTGTTGAGCACTTTTTGATAAATAGTGATAACAAATTTAAACTGTCAAAATTAAAGATGTCTGCCAGGCAGTAATCTTGTTTATGCACAACTAAGGACCAAGGGGGAACCTATCCCAAATACATTATGAAATTTGCAAAACATCAGTCAAGTACTTTCTGAGAAATAGTGATAGCAAAACTTACAGATTTCTCTCTGAATATGATCAAATTTTCCTAAAGGTATATCATTAAATACCGGGTAATATATATAATTGCAGGTGTGATCTATTAAATATCCACACAGATACCCTGTACTTATATATATACTGAATGAAACAGATACACAAAGATAAACAGCTTTTAAAAGTAATTTCCTGCAATCTTTATATTACAACCTATGGTACTTTCGTTATGAAGACACCCTACCCAGTAATGGCTGGTTGACCTCCTTGTTGTACGTGTCCAGTATTTTGGACGGCTGCCATGAAATGACGATCGAGGTCTCACCCTTGTGTTCCAGTCGGAGGTTGCGTGGAGGGGTAGGGAAACCTGGTTGAGGGACGGAGGAAAAGTAGGTCTCCTCTTCCTCCGAGGGGTAGGGAGACAGCGAGTTGGGTACTGACCCTGGTAAATTCAAATCAAAATGACATAGATATAAAAAATATTACGATAAAAATTGATACAATTTCATCAAAAAACATTTCATGAAAACTTTTGAACAGTAATCACTTTTCCACCACTATCATTACACGTCAATGTGGCAGGAAGGAATGACCGTCTGCTATTATTGGTTTAAACTGTGGTCAGTCAATATATATCTATTGTATGCTTATGTCATTTCACAACCAATACGGTCTGATCAATATACTTACATCCTTTTCATTAAATTTTTGTGAAAATATGTCTCTGATAAATTTCAAGTTTCCTGGAAGATATATCTATAAAACTCAGTACAAACAAAATCCCTTCCAATAAGCAATCGTAACTTTAATTTTTTTATTTCATTTTTTATTATTAACAATTTTTTTTTCATGAAGCATATACAATTTAATTTCTATATGACTGATATTTGACAAGTGGTTGCCTTGTGGCTCAACCTCTTTAGAATTAATGATAAATTTCAGTTATGATAGAAACATGTTGCGATAATTACCCCATCTTGGGCCTTCTATACTGGATTCGTCATCACAGCTTGAGATGTCATCGTCCTCATACCCGGTAACCAACAGCGACACATTCTCTTCTGCAATCCAAATAGAAATCAGAAATTAATTCCACTTTCCGACTCACTCACCCAAACATTTGGTGACCTTAAGTTCAAACCTAACACTAACAAAATCTTCCGGTCAAAAATACAACATTCTGCTATATTTCATTTCCAGTTAATTCTAATCTGTAAGTACTTTATTTGTTTTAGTGGTTATACATCTTTGCTATATCTAAAATCACAGAGGAAATGTGTACTTGTGAATACTATAATAGTCCTGTCAGTAAAAAGTGGTAACAAAGTCAGGACGGTATAAAAACCAGATTAACTTGAATGCACCGATACTTTAACTCATTGACCCCTGCAGACACATTTGAACTCATCCAATTCAAAGGTTGGAATAGATCATCATGAAATTTCAGGAGTGAATGAGTTAAAATTGGATTTGTTTGTCTCCAATTTATTTGGTAAGGTGAAATTTTAGCTGACAATAACTCTGATAACTTCTCCTCGTCTCAACAAGTCGAAGTTTGCTGGTTTTTACCAAACAATTACTTTCCTGGTCGAGAGGACTTCACATTTGGCAGGTTTAAATGATCACCTAAAGAAAGAGCAAGGTTTTCCCTTGAACATCATAGAAGTTTGGTTGAAAGGAAGACTACTACAGACCTGTGGTCTCGTTGCCTCCGGAAAACAATCCGCTTTGGAACACAACACTGGATACTGACTGTAGCGCTGTCTGAAGCTGTGACACCTGAAACAAAATGATGGGTTTAAAGCACTGGAGTGTATGTATGTAGACAAATATGTCATTATTTTGCCTACTTTGTCTTTTCAAAACTACTAATTATTTTATCAATATATCATTTAAATCATATCTTTTATTATTATTTGTACTTTTTTATGGATTTTTTCCGTTTCTCTTTACTCAACTCAAGGATGACAAATCAGTTACAAAATCATTTGTCTAGTGTACTTTACGGTGAGGAAAGGAATACTCAAAATATTGTCCAATATACTGAACAACAGGGAAAGGAATACTCAAAATCTTGTTCAGTATACCAGACAACAGTGATAGAGATTATACCTGACTCTGCAGATTGGCACATGTTTTTTCTAGCTGCCGGTGTTTCACCAAGTCTACTTCCGGGACAGTTCCATGTCCGGTGTTTAAGGAGTCCATCCTCTGGAGGGTGTTCTGGATTTCCTGGCTGTAGTTATACGAGCTGTCCTCTGTCCCCCGCGAAGAGTCCATTGTGCCCTTGAACGACTGTGAAGTGAGAACCTCGGTCTTCCAGTGCTGTAGTGACTGTACCTAATACAGTAACGTTTGAAGTGGTGACATCAGTACCAAGATATTTCATGTAATGTGTGGTACCTCAGAAATAATAACAGTTTTTATACATGTAATCACTATTGACAATTTGTTTACCTGTCACTATATTTGGGTACTGATTTTTCCATGGTTCTTATGCAGTCTTACCACTAACAAACCAAAATTTGTACAAATTAATTTGATATTGATCATGACAAACAAATAGTTTATTCAGGGCTGTCACAAACTAGGAAGGCAAATATCACATATAATTACTGGTTGTATTGTATATCCTGTTAAAGGGTTCCACACACAAGTAAAAATCACAAAATACATCAGTTACCTAGAAAGACTCTAGAAATTATGTCATTTATTTAGTCGTCAAATATTTCCCTTTGTTTATGTCTTGCTGTGTATGGAGCTTACCTGCAAGTATTTTTGCTGTTATATGGGATATGACAGTGAAGATTTGTTTAAAACTATTTTTATATAATTACTAGCAGTAGATATAGAGAAAGTGAATACACTCGAGAGATTAATAAGGAAAAACTGGACTAACAGTACACTTCTTCTAGCCAATCTGTTTCTGTATTATACACGAAGCTGTGTTAATACACCAGATTTATTTTGTCTACAACCTACTAGCATAGTCATAGAAATTTGCTAACATCTGCCATTGTGTTAACACTGATACAGTACCTCCTTCCAAAGAAACCTAATGGCCTCCATTTGTAGAGATCGAAGGTGCTTTTCTTCATCATACAACTTTTTCTGCCTGAAACACAGAAAAACACACCATCAGTTTTAACACTAAGCAAGACTATCCCATTGTGACATCTTTATTCGACCATCAATCCCTTTTTTTAATTTATGTTGAAAACTATTAAAAAAATAAGAAGGAACAGAAAACAGTATGTCACCAACCTTTGTTTGGAAGACAGAACAATTGATATTGACACATATTACTGAAGGCAAATTGATTACCTGGGTAAGTGAATATTATAATAACAGCACGTATAACTATCACAAAACGTTTTCATCCTTTATCCCCCCTTGACTCTTCACCTCCTGCATTCTGTTCTGTAGGTTCAGGAATAAATTTAATCCTGATTTGGAGATTCCCAAGGGAGACAACTGTGTATTTTTATGAGGCAAAACATGCATGCACCAGAACACAATACAAAAGTTGAATAAAATAATTGAAATGTAATAACATTCGTACGGTGTATGGTTTAAAAAGTACAAAGGAACTGTGTATATAGGACAAGGTAAGTAGTACAATACAGGAACAATAGGAGACAAGAACAACTGACTCGGAGGGACGACAATACCTACGTGATATCCCACAGACCTTATGTCTCTGGTGCTTATCATTTATTTATTGTCCCCAACGTGCATCATATAACTGCAGTTGTGTATGATTTATATACAATATACTGCTTATTAGAAAACATGGTGCAAAAACTCAGCAAAAATGTCATTACTCTGAAAATTATACCACTTCAATATTAATGATACAATAAAATATTCCAATCATACTGTTTTTATCTTACTTCCACTGATCAGCATCAGCAGAGTTCCCAATTTTATAGTTAAAGACGGTTCGACTCCTAAACTCAAGGGTATGTAGACTATATTTAGATTCAACTTCAGTACGAATAAATCACTTACGGGTATGTTGCTGAATATTTCACAGATGTATACCCCGTAGATAGATTTATACATATAGATGATGATTTTAATGTTTAACTCATCTTCAATCAGAGTTCTTTAGTATTTCAAATTATGTCTGATGTCACATCCACCTAATACCTAATGGCCATACAAAGCTTGTACGACGACACATACAGTGAAAACTAAACTTGGGGGAGAGGTGGGGTGAGGGTTACATTGTTTTCATGCATTATTTTGTCAAATATGTGTTACTTTGTGTTTGTGTACTGATTTTTACGCAATTTTTAGATTTTGTCATGCAGTCTCATCCCTGTAAAAATATGCGACAATTGCAAGCACTGCATCATTTCCACATGGAATTACTGTGACATGTATAGATGGTCGTAACCCATCTAAACAGGTAAGAACATGGTAAAAGATTGTATACACATGTAGGATCCATTATCCTGTTCAACAGACAAAGGTCAGAATGATTAAATATAGATATTGAACCACTAAGTACCCTACTGATGTGTGGTTTATATACCTGTACCACTACTGTAGGGTCTCGACTGATCAACTTTTTCTCGGGACCAGAAATCTACCTCGTACCCACAGAACGAATGATCCTGAACTCTGGCCGGGAGCCAGACAGACAGAGATCTTACTTATACAGACTATACCCACTACACCTTAACACAATTACCTATATCTTCCCTCGGCTGTCATATAAATAGACCCCTGTTTCTATTTAATATCTATTGTATCATGCTTTAATGCTAAGTTATGTCTTTCGCTGTTAGAGGTGTTCAATTAATTTTTTAAATTTACCGAACAACCCAATAACATAGGAGTGAGTGCCAAACAACTGCTAATTTATGTCCGTATTTGTTTGTCTAAGTGCACAACTTATCTTTTTTACTCAATTCCAATCCTTATATTACATATATATATATAAATGTATCTTGAAGTATACACTGCCAAAATATACACTCCTGCAGGTCTGATAAAAAGTCTTTGTACATAGAGGTGCCAATCCCGTGTTTGAGTTTCCACAATAATGCTGTCCTATGTTTTACAAACTACAGGTAATTTATTTGACAAAATGTACCTTGAAAACACCATAGGTAAAAATTGTTGGCTGATCACAAATCATTTCGCACTCAAACGAGAACTTTTAAAAGTGAATACAGATACATAATTTTCAAACATTTAAACCCTCGGTAAGAATTATATAGTGCCCAGGGCCTTTACATCAATCAACAATATCAATAGGACAAATCATGCATACAGCGAAAGAGGTTTATGTTGTTGTTCTCACCATATCATTATCATAGCTGCTATAGTTGGGGTCGATTACACTCTTGAAGTACAAGTAAAGCCAGAAGATATGATAAACATCTTAGGTAATTGACCACTTCCATAAACACCTATCAATTTCCATCAAATTTCATTTGCACTTTATGGCATTAACTGTTTGTAACTTGTACATTTTCCCATACCTACCATATATGCAGAGTACAATGACATTTTCCCAATACTTGTCAAGTTCTTGTCATAATGTTAATTCCCACATACTTGTAGAGTGTCCCTATTATGGTGAAGTTCTGAGTGCCAGAAATCAGGTAAGGTAGGGTCCATGGCTCAAAGGTACATTCAAAATTGAAATGGCTCACAACATTTTAGCAAATACATTATATATTTACAGGAACTGTCTTGTTGAAAACAGGACAATAGCCATAAGTGTTGTTTTGCCTTTCTTATCACCGGAGCACTATGCCACTTTCTCCATACCTGTCAAGTTCGGAGCGTAGCAGAATGATGTGATCCTCGGCTCTGCGGGCCCTGATCTCCTTCCGAATGAACACCACCTCCGAATCCTTGGACCGCGTTCGGAAACCTCGCCACACAGACTGGATCATTATCGCAGCTTTGTGATCTAAACATAAAAAGTTAACATTTACAACAGCATTCGACAACTGGAATATTCTCAACAAGGGACTTCCGTTTGAACAGGGTTAATCCACAATATATGCTGCACAACACATAGCATATCTCAATATAACCCAGGCTCCTTATAATACAGGCTCACAGCAATCTATACACAATTACCTGCATAGACGTTACCTAGGGCTATGTATTTACCAGTAACTGTTCGAAAGTTTACCGAAAATATCACACCTGTCCACACATCTTCATTAGATTCATTAGTTAGGAAATATAAATGTAGACTGTACACAAACTGCCAATCGAATTGTAGATAAACTATCAAGTACTTAAAGGTTCACGATTTTGTGACTTCATCTGAAAGCAAATAAGTATAATGAAAAACACTCAGTCTTGGTTTAAGAAAGCGAACTACCAGTCAGCCTTAAACTATATTACGACACATTTGGATGTACATTGTGTAAAAAGTAAAAATTTGATTCACATTGTCTACTAGGAACCACAGTCTATGGGGAGCAATGTAATGGTCTACCATGATATACGTTTGTTATGTTGTAAATTCCACTAAGACATAAGTCGACATATATCTACCTACAATAACATGTATATAATATATACAGCAACAGATATTGTTGAAACGTACACTAAAACTGTGATCCATATGTTATGTAACATATCGTGCCTCTCTTTATACGTAATATTTCACAGTACCGACAACAAAGACTCTGTATGATGACTAGTAAAACACATTAATCCTCAAAATCCTGTTTCTGAAGCGAAAACCTGACCTGCCTCATATAGAAAATAGTTAAACAGGACAGTGTATTCACCATTGAGTAGGGCTTGACATGTAATGTTACCATCAGACTCTGGCCGATTTAGGTGCAAGATAAAGGATCATTAGTGTATTAAATATGACCATTGGCTATGTAGGGGATAACCTAAGATCAGGGGCAAAAAATTAAGTAATTCAAATCTCGAGTAAGCTCTCTAATCCAAATACCTGAGTAAGTTTGTTAATCTTTTAATCTCCAAGTTATTTCAAGCTTTTAAAAGTGTTTCCATTTGCATAAAGATAAACCTGTTTTGCATATTTAAACAATTATTTTTTTATGAACTAAAACTGGAATAAATTAAGGCTATTTATAATAATAGGCTTAGTAACCTGCATGTATACATTTAAATTACAATTATTTTCTTTCGAGTTTAAAATCCCGATTACCTATATATATGCGGCATGGCAGTCATATTTTGTCCCAAGTAACAGAACACTTCTTGGCAGCTCGTTTGTTTACAAAGACGCATTACACTCTTATCATGCAAACATTTATGCAAAGAATTTTTTCTCGGTTAGACATCACAACAATGTCTCATCATTGTATCAAAACAGAAATATCACGGACCTGATGGAACATTGATTGGAATTAAAGAGTAAAGGACTAAAAAGAACCAACATTGAACATCTTGGTAGCATAATATTGACACACCTTTTGAAAAATTCGCAAATAACTATATTGACAAACTGGCTGTGATACATGAAAGACATGTCAACACATACCAGGTACAATTGTGTATATATTTGTTTCATGTAGTACTAAACTAAAGAGAAAATACAGCGGGTTAAAAGCTGATTACCTACCAAAGCTTACAGAATGCCTGTCATACCAAACAACGTATGTATAAAAACAATTTTGCTACCCTATTCAGTATTGCATCAACACTTTTTATTTCCAAAGCATTTGACCACCATAATATTACCTTTTAACCCTTTCATCCCTATGTAACTTTAGTAGACTCTACCATGCATTGTTCTGAATGAGTCCATTTTGGTCTATAGTGGTGAAATAGTTACGGTAATATCAAAATGAGAAGGTATTTTCTAAATTCCAATACAATTTGTAATACCAAATATACAGGTCAGAAAACCCCTGTCATTTAAGTTTTAACTATGAAGTACTGACCTTCAGGACCGTAATCCCCGAGTACGGCATCACTAACAGGGCGGGAGTACACACCCGAGTCACGCACACTTGCCTTCACATCTCGCGTACTATCACTTTTATCCGACACATGAGATTTATCAGGTAAATGTGCCTTTGTCCGTTTGTCAGCAAGGTTTTCCCCACTAATCTTCCTCACTGTGGCAGCATATTTTCCTGGAAGATAGTCAGAATGTGTCCGTGTCACATTAGCTCCCTTTGAAACAGGGATATTACTTCTATTACCAACGTTTTCTGTCGTTTTTTGTGTAATGTGTGAGGTATTCAGTTTTGAAGTTTTCTGTGGAGCACCAGTCCTTGTGGATACTGATGATCCCGATCCTTTTCGGGATTTTTTCTCAGCCACTTCCTTGATTTGACTTATGTTTTCCACGGGAATGGAATCTTTTGGCGGACTCAGAATCTGTTCTATCTCGGAGACTTCCTGGCTTGTGTCGTAGTCGTGGGCCTGAGCAGTCGGTGGAGTTTTCTTTTTAGCTCCAATTGCTGGTTCATTTCCGGATTGCTGTGGGGGTGAATAATCAAATTTTGGTTTTAGGAGCCCTTTGAGCACTTCAGGGTTCACGGGTTTGATTGGTCGGTTGTTGTATGCTTCATATCGAGTCTCCATCATCGTGGCTGGCCGGTTGTCTCTGTGGGCCAGATAGTTGGTGGCCGGTGAGTGGCCGGATATAACAGGGGCTGTCATTGGACGATTGCTAGAAGTACTAGCCTCGGAAACAGGCAGATAAATGGATTCGGAGTCCAGCAAACTTGTCTGACTTTTGGTATCATAATCTGAAAATTGATAAACCAACAGTCAATGGTCAATGTTATATTACAATTCACTTGTCTTGTAAAATTTACACTGACTGGATGGCTAGCAATAATTAAATACTTTTCCCAGTCAATTAACACTTCTGAACAACTTCTTATTGTACATACATGCCAGATCTCATGGCGTGAGGCAAAATCTCAAGGATTTTCACCTCCGATAAAGTCTCACTGAGTAGGACATGAATTTACGGAAAGTCCTCAAAACCACATGTTTTTTTGTGATCGATCGGTGAACCATTTTCCCATTGTTGTTGTTTACTTGAAGTTTTACGAGATTCCACAATGTTTTCAGCGATAAATCACGAGAGCTCACGAGTAGTGGTCATAAAAAAATATGGAAGTGTTCGTATTGATGAAATAAACAAAATACTTCATAAAATATTCAAATTTCAGAAAAACAAAATTTCAACTTAAAATACCTATTAGATGTCAGTTGAAGGCGACATCTATCAGCAGTGATTATTGAAGTTATTATTATAGTCAACGGTATGTCATTTATTATTGCAATCGAATGCCACATTATTTCATCACGATTATAAATAGACTTACCGTCAGAGGTCACCTCCTGAATATTGAGGTCACTACATTGCGTAGCGATATGGCTGTCTCTACTGACGTCACCGTCACCATATCGAGCTGTAAATAAAAAATCAAACCGTCACATTCGATTCAGCTTGTTTCCATAACATACTAGTATTAGTAAATAAGTCAGGTTAGTCTGGAGATTATAAAACAACTGCCCATGTCCAGCTTAGAACTGGAATGTGGTCTGATGTAGGTACATATATTTGGAGTACCCACAATTAGCACAAGCAATGGCAATATGCCAAGATGGCTTACAGTTTATCAGCTATTGAATTTGGAGTTTTTTATAAAGCCAAACTAAAGTTTTTCGAAGCCTTGTTGATCAAACCTCTGTTTTTATTTCTTATTTACACATGAATCAAATGATTAAAACAAAGTTAGCAGAGGCTCACATAGGTAAACCCCCTCTCCCCCAATTCTTCCTCATCCTGCTTTGCTCATGATCTTTGACCTTTTAACCTTGACTGAAGACCAAAAAGTTACCATAATAATGGTGTGAATATGAACTAAATGTGCTCAGGAGGTCATGATGTAACTTTGTACACCAGCTTTGTACTATACTGATAGACACTTTTCCCATGACTGTTAAATGTGTAACCTTGACCAATCAGTGACCACCAAAACCTTATCAGGTATAGACCTCGATATAACCATACTATGGTGTAAATATGAACCACATGAGATATCTTGTACACAAACGTTTTACTACAGATGGACGCGATGACAAAGTATTTACTGTATACCTCCCTCGCTAGGTGGGGAGCTCAAGGGACGGGATATAAAGAAGGACACTCTTGTCAAAATCTAATGACATAGTAGATCATTTCAATCTTATTGACCTTATGGACTATTTCAATCTTTTGTTGTTGTTGATATTTTGAAATATCATGGTTAAGAATATGTACAACTGGCTTGTTTCTGAGGTCACATGGAAATGGTACTGTAACACTATTGTAAATCACAACAAATCATAGTGCGCTACATCCTCTATCTTACAACTACCTGCTGTGGTCCAGGCCCTTACTGGGTGTCTGTTGTATGAGTTGTGGCTCACATCGGAGGACGCCCGCACTGGTCTGTTGTACGCTGTGCTGGTGTCTGAAAGGTGATGGTCATATCTTAATAGGATTATTATGATTACAGCTCTATTCAAGTAGACAAACACAGAAAGCTCCTCAGTGACTCGTAGAATCTTAAAGAGTTAGCGTCTTACAGCAGTCAAATACAGATGGATATACATGTTTCATTGAAGTAACTGGGATAAATAGCTACCTGTCTACTAGAGTGACTTTAATACAGAATGCTCCCTGTTTATATCAGTGATGAGTCACTCAATTACTGAGAGATCTCATTATTTACATCGGTGATGAGTCACTCAAATACTGAGAGATCTCATTATTTACATCGGTGATGAGTCACTCAATTACTGAGAGATCTCATTATTTACATCAGTGATTAGTAACTCAAATACTGAGAGATCTCATTATTTACATCAGTGATAAGTCACTCAATTACTGAGAGATCTCATTATTTACATCAGTGATGAGTCACTCAAATACTGAGAGATCTAATTACATACATCAGTGATGAGTCACTCAAATACTGAGAGATCTCATTATTTACATCAGTGATTAGTAACTAAAATACAAAGAAAGCTCCCTAATAACATCAGTGATGAGTCAAATACAGATAATAGACTGTTTACATGCATTTCAGACATAGGTTTAGTCATTTGGGCTCAGAGCAGCACTTATACATCATAACCATTGACTCAAAAACAGACAGCTACCCATTTACTCAAGTAACACTGATACAGTAAACTACCTGTTTACTCATGATGTGACTCAGAAACAGTGTGAGGCCTGCCTACCTGGTTGTGTGAGCGTGTCTGTAAAGCCGGTTCCTGACAGATCATTGAGTGTACTCTGATTGGACGAGTAGGATAGATCCTGCGAGAGCTCCTGTTGATGTAGTTTTTGTTTAGAGAGTATTTTACTTAACTTGGCATCTTCTTGGGATTCCAGCTGTAACGACACAAAAATAATACTTCAATTTCAAATAAAATGTTAACATGCAGAAAAAACATTCTATGAATTCAACTATCTTTAATTCAAAATAAAAAAGATTTTATAATTTCAAGTGTCTTTTATCTACTGAAAAATCTTCAATTATTTCAACTGCCTCTAGTTGAACATTCACAGGTTTTATTTTTGTGGAAATCCAGAAATGGTTTTGATGATACCAATATAGGTTGACAATAATAAGTACCATGACCTTCATAGAGGTCAATTGTTATATCTCAAACAATGTACCACTGCCTTGTCTCTAGTAAACCAACACTGCTGATCCTACACACAGGGTTTTACACTGAACTCTATACGTAGGCAGACCAAATTGTCTGTAGATGTTTATCAACAGAACAATTGTAAGACACAATCAAAAGACATAATGAAAAAAATTATGAATGGCTATTATCGATCTTATGAGTAAACGGTATTGTGCTTGGTTTATTGATTCATTCAAGACTGATATTACCAAATAAAGAAACAATATTTTTACTCCGTTTGTAGGGGTTGAGTAATAGAGATCTAACAATGGGTCAGCTGACAGGACAGGGGCCATTTCTTCCTGATTCATTCAGTAATTTGAAGAACAGTTAGAAGTTATTATATAGCAGCCAACTCTTCATACTTAATGACTTTGTCCTTGAAAAGCTTGCCTTCATACAAACATACACAGAACTAAAATATTAACTTCATGATATTGAGATTTGAGAGACTTTGAACTGCACAAAAACCTGTCTTTACTAAGATCAGGAATGACTAAACAATTTGTCGGACGATGTGTCGACAAAGGCAGGTTAAAGACAAGGAATCCAGTCTTTTGGTGCAATAAAATAATGTCTCAGATTTGTCCTTAACTCATTCACCCCTGAAGACACATTTGAACTCTTCCAATTCAAAGGTTGGAATAGTTCATTATGAAATTTCAGGGATGAATGAGTTAATGTCAGGTGTCAGTCAAGTCAAGTTTCACTGTATCATAGCTATTATAGTCATCATTACTAAAAAAAAATACACATAATTCAGTTTAATTCCATTTAATTGCTGTTAACTATATGGATTGACATTACAATTGAAACTTCAAAACATCATTGAAATTTGTAGAATTACATTGTATGTATTAATGTAATAATAGAGGGATCCACAATAAGGCAAATGCATGTATTATATGTCTACTGGTAGGCTTAACTCATTCACCCCTGAACACACATTTGAACTCTTCCAATTCAAAGGATGGAATAGCTCATTATGAAATTTCAGGGGTGAATGAGTTCATGTTGATTGTTCATTATCCTCACTGCTATCCACAAATGTCTGTACAGTGATTTACACCCTAGAAAAGGAAATGGATATTTCCAGTGAGGATTGATTATGATGACTGCTGCAAGGTCATTCTTATCATTTCAAAGACCAGTCTGGTGATACATTAAACAACAGCCTTAGGCATTAAAGTAAAGGGTACCTGAAAGTTCAGCTATATTGGTACCTATATATATATAAACCATTGTCAACATTGCAAAATATTTGTTAAAGTCCCTTATGAAAGAAGGATTTCATAAAAAATAAATCACAGGCATTTTGCTTCATCTTCTGTATAGAAGAGAAAATAGTCCAAGTCATAAGAACTCTTGAGTAGAAATCTTCTTCACAGTTAGTTCATATCCATATACTGAAATCTGGTTTTTTCCTGTATGACTATAGCTATGATGAATTTTATCTGAAAACTAGAAAATGTCTGTAATACATAAATGCCCCCACTCATGGATGGGACGGGACAGGACGCAACGGGACGGACATAGGCAACACTATATGCCCCCCCCACAAGTGTTCTGAATGTAAAAGTTTGGGATTCGAACCCTGGACTTCAGATTGTTATACTAACGCTCTTACCGACTGAACTTCATGATCAATGGAAGCGTCCTGGCCCATCAGTGCTACATTTATATTCAAAAGGAAATTAACACATTCACCCCTGAAGACACACATTTGAACTTTTTCAATTCAAAGGTTGGAATAGTTCATTATGAAATTTCAGGTTGGAATAGTTCATTATGAAATTTCAGGGGTGAATGAGTTAAGGGAATGTTACTGTATAGATAGAGGATTGCTTATTTGGGGTGGCCTCTCTTTAGCAAATTAAATTTTAGTACTATGGACTGTTAAACCATGTTGTAGTATTTTTACATACAGTACATATATATCTTAAAATATTAAAATAAACAACGGTCATGTTTGTTTTTTGCAGTGAACTCTCAAATTTATAACAGCATTAATCAATGGACACTGGTGTTCAAATTCTAATGAGCTGTCTCAATGCATTTGTCCGGGGACTTTTTGTCTACCGATGTGCTTTGAAGAATACTATGTAGACTTTTTTCATGGTGCTTTCAGTGCATAATCAATGAGCTATACCGTAAACCTAAAACATCATGTCTCTTTAGCATACATATTACATGAAAATGTATACCAATTAGTACAAAAAATGTGTGCAAAAAAATATTATGGTAGGCTAAATCAATATCCTATGTTAATGAAATATCTATCATGAAAGGTTTATCAATACAAGCTAGAATTTGTTATGCAGTAAAACAAATTGATACTGAAAAACAAGCTGAACGCCATATATTGTTTGCTATTTGTAATAACTAAGTGATAATATTATGTTACAAGGATGTGTTGAGCATTATACACCCTTAGCTTGTACAGTTCAAACATCTGTAGCGGTTTTATGTTACTTTAATAAGATAATTTATCGACCTTATAGAAGGAACAGTTCCTTTTTCAAGGTTGATCCATTATAGTCTATAGATATTAATTTTGATTTAAGTGGTATCACTTTTACTCTATGAATGGTATACTTGTATAAGAGGTCCACTGTTTGAATGATTCAAACATACTATTAGTCCATATATACCCAGGTATACATATATAGATTGAAGTGTAGATTTATTTTGTCTAATTAATAAGAACATACAACCCTCTGATTGTCAGCTCTTTGTATATATAGTGAAAAAATATTACATGCAATCCAGAATTCAGCATTTAAATATATACACCATTTGATATATCGCCCTATCTAGCTAACATAAGCCACTCTAAAGCACTTTACAGTACAAAGATATACAATTTTATACAGTCAATACAATTAGTATATATATTAAACAATACAATATTGAGGAATTCGCAGCAGCTGCCTAATCAGGTTCTTACTACTACAGTGTAGTCCTATGCCACCTGGCTAATATCTCCCTATGTGTGTATATGCCTGTGTGTGTGCTGGAGATGTATTGTGTTCTGTTTGTAGTGCGACCGTGCTTCCAACGGTATCATTTATAGTGCCACCTCACTTGAATGCTACAGCACAGATACAGCAACACCCACCACAGACCGATTTATACTCCACCTGGGTTGTTGGAGTTGTGTGGGGTGGAGAAAAACACTTTCTCTGAATATTCCATTCATACGGCAACTCTGGGGATCGAACCCCGGCCGCCTGCTGGAGTGTTAACCACTAGACCAATCTGCCCACAGTAAGTTTGTATTCCATGTGTGTGATTGTTGGTTACTCCACCACCTCCACTAGAACACTTCTCCACATACCAACAACTTTTTGCATGATAACAAATCTCCAATATTCAGATTTGAAGAGCGTTTGAACATGTGAAACTTTATCCACTGTAGATGAACTTGTTGCAGGTTTATCATGTAACCCTTTGAACATCTGTAGGCCTGAGTTTGTAAATCTATTTTCTGTGAGAAGTTTTGATAGCAAAGACATGAAGTACCTAGTATCAATACAGCGCACCTGCACAGTCAGCTATTGTGGTAATGACTAATTAAATACAGGTAGCATGTCCAGATGGATAAGGGGTGATTACAGGTACACACCAGCAGGTAGAATTAGGTACACTTAAGTACGTTCAATACACCTCTGTATATACCTGTCATCTTTTGAGGAGAAATGATCAAATATCAATATGTGCTCAAATCTCCAAGGTGTTATTAGTTACCTGTGTAGATCTATATGTGTTGTAACTTCTGATTCAAACAACACAATGCCTCTTTTCTGTCCGATTTCAATATATCATGAATGCACTTGATGTGTGATAGATTGTATTAGCGTTACCAGTAATGTGCCAAATAAGCAATTTTCCCCCTAGCTGTCACAGGTATACATTTACAGGTATACCTAATACAGGTGCTAGCACAGGTAGATAATGTTGGTACTAATGACATATAGCATGTCGATCAGTAATAACAGATTGTCAGCCCCAGAGACAGTATATAGGGTACCTACAGCTTCTGTTACATCAATTGGGAATAATCAACGTAAACTCAATCCATAACACCAAATCCAATACATAACAGAGTATTTTTGGTCGCAGAACAAGTTAAAATTCATACAACCATAGTTGGAAAATGAAATTTTTAAGGCAGCAAAGCACAGACGTTTTTACTCTATGCTTTATAAGTAGGTAAAATATATAAGTAACCTAGTGTTTTCCAATCCTCACTCAGCAGGGGACATTTAAACATTGGCGTGTTAGTATATTAAGTGATTATCTTTCGTCTTTCAGTTATACTTTAACTGGCTACATCTAAAATCTAGGCCTGTCAGATTTTAAGCTCACACAATTAAAGATGGTTAAACTTGGACATTTGCTACTCCCTTAGAGATAAAGAAATCCTTTAACTGTCTGTAGCACTTATAAGACAGATGAGCCTTCTGAAGAATACCAGCATCTTGTCTGTTTAACCCTTTCACCACTGTAGACCGCAATGGACTCATCCAGATCAACGCATGGTAGAGTCTACTAAAGTTGCATAGGGGTGAAAGGGTTAATTCTACATCATGGAATCATTCCATATACAGTCTGTATTGACATCACCAACATAACACTTCAGTCAAAATGATTGCTGAGAGAACCGACTGGAACGGCAAATAGTGATTCCTTGTTGAC